CAAAAACTCGTTGAACTTACAATAACTCGATGTGTTTTTTTTTTCGATATTTTACTATGTTTAGGTGCTTCGTAACTTTACTATAGAAAATACAACTATTTTCTAAGAGATTTTAGATAATGGGTAAAATATGATAATTTATTTTAGACTCGGATATTAAGGTTTCATTTCTTTGTTAATGTTTAAAAAAAGCGTAAGTAATAGGGACATGTTTCATTAAATAACACAATGTGCTACCACTGTTGCTATTGTGATATAAAGTCAAAAAGCAAGACAGTGTTCCATATTTAAAAAAAAAAACAGATGGGAACCATTGGGCTCTTAAAAGTTTGTAATACGATATACTACGAAACTGTCCACTGCAAGATGATCCCTTATTATTTAAAATGTAAACTCAAACGTCGACTATTAGGTGTCTGAAGAGAAGTCTACTTGGACAATTTTGTGCACTTCCCAATTTGCACTTGGAAGCCGAATACCCTAAGCAAAAGATAAAAACAGATCAAATTTCACAGATCCCGTGCCGTTCCAAAAGCGTAGGAAAACTAAATTAACTTATAGACTATATATACCCCTTCGATTAATACTAAGCTAGTAGTGGCATTGGCTGTTTAGAGTAATGTTAATTTTATACATTGAACCTCCAAGTAATCAGCATTTACCATACAGATTATATTAAGGTGATTATACTGAGGCATTCAAAGCAAATTGATGATCGCCGTGTAAAGCTCACGTTTCGTTTGAATTTCTAATTGATAATTTCTTACATGAAAATTGCCTTCAACTGTCTAAGACCATTATATATTGGTCATAGTAAACCACCGAAATGCCGCTAACAGTTATTTGACCTCCAGTGGCAGCCTTTACCTTTGTCGTTTGCAATTATAGGCTGAAACACAGTCGAGACATTCGTGGTATTCTTATTGTCCGGTCGATGTGACCACGATAAATAACAAACGCTAATGGTGACATCGTGGGAGTTTAATAGAAAATAGTACACTACTGCAGAGGCCGGGAAGTGCTCAGCCTTGTGTTATGCTTTTCTCAATAAATACAAGAAATGATTCAAATATATTTACAAAAATATGTGTGTATGTATGTAAACACTTTATTGTACAACACCACAAATTTTTAACAAAGGAATAAAACTTTATTGTACAAAAGCGAGCTTATCTCATAAAGGGATTTCTTCCAGCTAACCCTTAACCCTAAATAAGTAATTAATGCCAGAAAACAAATATGAATTTAAAACGAGCGAGCGACTTGGCTGTGTGACATTTTTTAGTCATTTCGATGTTGAATGCAATGGTCAAATAAATTAAAAAGATTAACGTAGCGATGGCAAATGGATTTCTCTACGGATTTTCCGATTTAGACCGGAAAGTAATTTGTTTTTAATTTCGGAGCAAAAATCTCTTCTCTCCATTGACTTACAATTATATGGACGTGGGTCCGCGCTAAGAAGTGTCCGAACTTATAGGGCGTTAAAATCGTATACAGAGCGTCATTCACGCTTTAGTCTTCGTTTGTTCGACTGACAGCGAAGCATGCAAAATTAGACAGTACTGCAATGACATTACAATTTAAATTCAACGTTTTAACTTTTTCATATTCCTTTACATGTCACTACGTTTAAATAGGTTGACTTGGGACATTTTTTTCGTGGTTTTTGTATTAGACCCGTCGTCCATTTATTTGTAAGTCAATGCTTCTCTCGCTCTCTTTGTATATTCTTTGCTTAAAAGTAAAGCGAATATTTATTGCGAGCTTGTTTGAGAAAAATATTTTTATAAAAAGAATTTATATATGTAGGTACTAATAAAGGAATATGGGAAATTAGAACAGAAGTGGACGCTTGGCGGCGTCAACACGAATAATATTTTTAATTAAATTCTAATTAAAATAATTATCTGGGATCAGATAGAAAAACAGTGTAATTTTCACATCAATTTGAAATATTTATAAAGAAACTATGATAAAGATCCACTTTTTAAACAAGTTTTATAATTATGATTTTGCGATGTGCGATTCTTATAAGTTAACTTACGAGTGATACTACCAAAAGCCGTGAAACAAAATTGTGACCGATCAAAATTTATCTACTACAGGGTTTTTGTTACAAAGTTTATTAATACTCTATTTGTAATGAATACGTGATTGCTTTTTATTGCATTCCTTGCCGTATGAGGTAACACATACAAGGCGCGAAGTGTGATCGTGGGCGTGTATTCCCTTAAAAGGCTCGAGTGTCGACATATTATAAATACTTCTTATAAGATATTTCTTGACAATATTGGACAAATAGACACTAATAGGAATTTAACATTGGATTAGTACGAGGAAATTAATTACTATTTATTTGAAAATTTAAATGGTGCCTATTAACTAACAATGGGGTAAATATTCATTCGTTATTATTGTGATGAGTGATTGATAGTTAAGTTTACTTTTGCTTTCTTTATCTTTTTGTTTCTGATTCAATGTAATAAGTCCAAACAGACTTTGAAAGAAATTATAATTGATGCTATCGGGGCAAAAGTGGTGTACCCCAGTAAAAAAATAGTGAAAATTTATAATCAAATCAGTCCGTTACAGCATACCATACCATTTGTTATGTATGAAAATAGCATCCATATATAAAATAATTATATAGTTTGGTACAAATTAACTGTATTCCGTAATTTAAAGTACCTAATACTGTAGAAAAAATTGAATGTGGGTTACACTACTTTTGCGCTGTAAGACTCAATTATAATCTGATTTTAATACGCAGTAGTATTACTGTAGCGGTAGCGCTGCTTGTGACAGAGTTCGTCCAAGGAAGTACTACCACCTTACATATTTCTGCCGCCAAGCAGCAATGTGAACATTACTGCGTTCCAGTTTTGAAGGGTAAAGGTGCAGGTGAAATTACGGGCACATGAGGCATGTCAACTTATGTCTTAGGGTGACAGGCGCAGTGGCAGTGCCCCTTTGTGAATCTTTGCGTTTTGAAACTCTGAGTGGCATTGCAACTGCTATGGACATCCGTGTCGCTTAATACCAGACGCACCACTTCATCCCGTCACTTGGTATCATAAAAAAATTAGAGCTCCTTGCGAAAAAGTTCAATCAGGAAAGTGCTGCCTATTTCTGCCGGCAAGCAGTAATGTGAGCATTACTTTCGTTTTTGAAGGGTAAGGGTGCTGATGAAATTACAGAAAAATAGGACTTGTCATACGTATGTCTCAAGGTGACGGGCGCAGTGGCAGTGCCTCTCAGATCTTAGCGATTTAAAACTCTGAACAGCGCTGCAACTGCCATCGGCAGGCGTGTCGCTTAACACCAGATGTACGACATGTTCGTCCCGTCACTTGTAATTATAAAAAAGTAGTTTTTTCACCTTTATTTTAAATTATTCTTTCTTTAGATTCCTCTTTTCTAAATTCTTCTTTAGATTGAACCACTTTGAAAGTTGACTCCATCTTTATACACCTGCCCTTATATTATTTGGGGTCAGCGCAGTATACATTCTTCTTCCATTCATATCAATCACCCGTCACTTCGTTGTTCATTCCCCTCATATCTTAGAGGATGGAAAAAAAACTTCATATACACATATTACAATGGAAAGTATACACTTAGATAACTTATATAAATAAAAAAAAAACCTTTTGGTACGTATTACGAACACAAATATGAAACCTCCTATTTTTAGTCCGGTCAAAGCACCAAACTCGTCTCATGTAGAGTCATATAGAATATTGAGATTAAAAACAAATCGGTCAGTGAAAGTGACTTCACGTAACGTCGACTAGTCATCTTCAGTGGCAAGTCCATAATAAAAAACTTTGCAGCCAATACATTCGCTGCAAATTACGTGAATATAGTTTTTTATTATTTTTCTACGTCTGCCTGTTTTGTACCATTCTCGATTGACGCAAAAACTCAAAAACTCAAAAACTCAAGGTGAGAAGTAACACACCTGAATCATTTTCTATCGTAATTGTTTTCTGTGTTTTGTACTTGTGTGTTTTGTAAATTAGATAAATTGAAAACAAACATATATTTCGAATTTAAGTTGTATTATGGAGGAACGGGAGGAGCCAGACGGACATTTCAGTAGGTGAAACCTACCCTCCCTAGTTCTAAATCCACCATATAGTAATCCAATCATGTTTATTAGACTTTATGTTAAGATAATTTCAAGAAATAAAAAATAATTATTAAAGCACAGGAGCCTTATAGCCAGTTTTTGTTGTATATGTATAGCTACCATCGCGTGATCATCTGGGGTGGGTATTCCATAACTATAATTCAGTTTTAGTAGAGCTTCTTGTGAAAGAGTTTGTCCAGGAAAATACTGCCACCTTACCTATTTCTGCCGCCAAACAATAAGGTCAGCGTTCCTGTGTTCCGGTTTTGAAGGGTAAGGGTGCTGGTGAAATTACATTCACGTGGGATTTGTCAACTTACATATGTCTCAGAGTGGCATTGCAACTGCTGTGGACAGACGTGTCGCTTACCACCAGGCGCACGACTAGTTCGTCCCGTCATTGTCACTTGGTATCATAAAAAAGTAGTAATTCCCGTGGAAGGTGGCTTAAAAAGTCTTGTAAGAATAATAATCAATTGTTGAAAACAAATAGAAGTTTCTCATTCCAGTAATGCCAGCACACTAGGGTGCGACTAGCGCGAGAGCGACATAAAGTGCGAGATACTGCTATTCTCGAATAGAGATCTCGCGTTTTTGCGCAAGTCGTGTCTTATCGTGCTAGCCCTACTGTTTACCAAAAAAGTATGTGTTTGTTTGAAATTTTTCAAAAAAACTCTTGACCTATTTGGATAATTCTTTCACTGAAATGTATTTAAGTTGTCACCTACTTCTGAAGCACTAACAACAATCTGTGAAGTTTTTTTCGGACTTCGTCAACGTGTCTATTTAATAGCATGTGTTTCTAAAAATTTGTGTAACACAAACAAATTTGTATAGTCTAACGTAAAATATTCTTTTGTTACAGAGACCATGTATATAGAAACCTTACCGCTCGTGGTTTGGACGCTCTTAGTCACAACGACACATGTAAGTAATAGATTAGTTTTCTATTAATATTCTTATTAGAAGTAATTGGTACTTTTGTTACCTAACTTATTTGTTTATTTGTGCTGCGTTTTTACAGGATCTTAATATAATACGCGAGCTGTTATAAATAATTACCTTACTTTGTATGTAATTTATTGTTTACCTATGTGCATGTGTTTAGTATTATAATGATTTTATTTTGTTGCCGATTGTTTTTTTTTTATTTAATTGACGAACAGGCATATTGTAGCTTGTTGTTAAGTATGTTATATTTTATTTTAAGTAACTTTTGTCTGTTTGTACACGAAATGACTTCTTCTGCGTCAGAACTGATTTCGTAATATGAAAGTTTATAAATTTGCTTCACAGGTAGCGACAGAAGGGCAATATGGAATAGGTTTAGGAATAAAACGAGAAGTATTTTTCTTAAATTTAGAAGACGGCTACTTTGGCTGTCAAGTAAATGAGTCAACACAAATATTACAATTATATGAATTATCAAAATTATGCGACGGTGTGCCAGACTGTTACAAGGCCTCCGACGAGCTTAGGTCAGACTTAAAATGCACAGGTGAGTTTATTACCTTTATTAATTATAATTAATAAGATATATACACTCTCTCTAGCTATTATAAAGAACAATTACATTGATTTATTTAAAATATGAATACTGCAGCACCAAAGTCGTTTAAGAGGGTTACCTATCAGTAGTCCGAAATAACATTTTCCAGAAATAATAACGTTTGATCGAAATTTCATAACCTCGAAAGTATTTTTGAGAGGAAAATGTTTTTTCTTTTAAACCTAACTTGACCTAATGTGACCGAACCTATTCGTGTCTTTGCGATAAACATTCAACATATCCTGAAAGAACAACTGTTTCGTTATAATTCGGTTTTTGGTGTAATGAAAATTCGAACAAACGTTATTTCAGACAAAACATTTTTCGACTTTGTGATAGATTACCGTTAAAGAGCTATAATGTAATTTTTTTACTGATTTTTGTCTTTTCTATAATAACAGGTAAATGGTGTAATAGTATGGGTATACTTTAGCATTTACATAGATAATAAACATTTTCAAAACGTGTTCGTTTTAGATGATTGTACCAAAGAAGATGGCGCGCGTTGTATAAATGGTGCTTGTCTGAACGGTGTGTGCCATTGTAATGACGGTTTCGGCGGCTGTAACTGCCAGGAACACGGTGAGTAATAAACACTGTATAAACGTAACAAAACAAGACGAAAAAAAGAAACATGTGGGTACGTTTCTTTTTCAACATCAATGGAAAGCCCATTATCCAAATTAAAAGGAATCAGTTTAGTTGAATAAATACGAATCTCACGCAGTAAGTAAATAAATCAATCTGCTTTCGATCATGTGATCGAATGACTGCATCAGATAATAAAAAAATAGAAAAAAATAGGTAGGTAGTTTTAAAAGCTTATTATTTGTACCTACTTATATAATTATTCTTTCGCAAAGAAAAAGTTTCTGTTTTTCATATCGTCTCTCGTATGTGCATTGCAATATTTTTTTCACTTTCAGATGTAAATGAATGCAAAGAAAGGCCTTGCGATGTTTTTGCTCATTGCACTAACATAGTGGGTAGTTTCCAGTGTTCGTGTTTCCCAGGCTATGAAGGTGATGGTTTCACTTGCAGAGGTAAATCAACTTTGTATATTTGCTACTAAATCGTAATGAACACGTTTGAAAGTTGTTGCTGTACAATTAACTTACTGTTACAAATGTAAACATGAATGTTAAACGTGTTTAATCCAATTAACGAAGAGCGCAGTGGGAGCTTTTATAGTACCTACTCGAAGATTTAAAAATTAGTACACTTTTTTGCCAACTCTAATTATATCCCATTAGTAACAGCAGTGAGCATAAGATCAAATCAAACATTCATAACTATAATGTATTTCAAAAAACACCATATCACTAATTACATGTTGCGTTATGTAAGGTTACGGTGACTAATGTTTATTTTTCCGTTAGACATAAATGAGTGCGAAGACCCGGCAATAGTATCACGATGCGTTGAAAATGCTGAGTGCTGCAATTTGCCCGCTCATTTCATCTGCAAATGTAAAAGAGGCTTTCAAGGCGACGGGGAAGAAGAATGCCGAGGTACAAATTTTCCTAGTATTCCAAATAAACAAAATTCTTTTTTTTTTATAATTTAATATAATTGGATTTTCATATTATAGATATTGATGAATGTCGTCGACCTGGCGCTTGCGGAATAAATGCCATATGTCAGAACTACCCAGGAAACTATACGTGTGCATGTCAAGTTGGTTACACTGGAAATCCATTCGATGGCGTAAGTATTTTACATAATATTGTAAAGAATTGAGGTGGGATATTCAAGTGACGATTTTAAGTGATAACTTTTACGGTTGATCAGTGTGTGGATGTCGACGAATGTGCGAATGGTAACGCGTGCGGTCCGGGAGCGGTGTGTCGTAACGTAGAGGGCGGCTACGAGTGCAGCTGTCCAGTTGGGTATGAAGGCGATCCGCGCGTTGGCTGCCGCCACCACGATGGGTGCGCCTCCTGCGGCCGAAACGCTGTCTGCGAAACCCTCCCTGACTTCCGCTGTGTTTGTCCACCGGGCTTCGAAGGCAACCCTGGCGTACAGTGCACTGGTAAGCCTTACAAGGAAGCGCCAGTAGGTGTGACGTACGCTAACTCATTCTCTTTGTGGTCTAACGCTTTTGACAACATAACTCGCTCATGTGTAACGAATCGCGCTCAACACTGCCGCAAAGCGACGCGCGGTAGCTTCACGCTTCTACTAATGTCTTAACTGGTCACGACATCTAAAATATTTACCGATAAATGTTATCAAAATTTTCAGCAACCGGCCGCATCTATTACGATGGCAACGAAGGTGATCTTCGATAATTTCATATCAAATTTTAGGCAACATATATAGAGTATTTCAAAAGGGCACCCGATCTATAAATTTAAATAAAAAAGCTCCATCAGTAATATTGATTAATATGGCTGATTTTTTTTAAAATTTACTTGCAGGGTCAGTCTGTAGGCATTAATTATGGAACATCGGCTTGATGGCCACCTCGGCTTCATTAAGCGCTTTTTGGAGGTTCAAATTTTCAATTTTGAATACAAGTCGGGCAGATTTTCATGACCTTGATTATGTTAGTATCAATTTGTTTTCGGTTAATTAGCGTACAGTAGGGTTATAACATAACATTGTTACATGTGCGTACGGCGACATATTACAATAAGTGTAAAAATTACACCTCGGATTATATACTATCGATCACTTTGGTGAATTTCGTGTGGAACACGGATCGGATCAAACTGAAAATTTTCCATGATTAATGATGAAGCTTAATTAACACTATTGTGTTTATAGATCTTTTCTAAAAATGTTATAATCGTGTGTCGTTACTGAAATGCTCATTCATTTGAAGGACTCCTCTGCATACTCTTTCAGTTTTTAAATGAGCCTTGAATTCTACTTCTATCTTTCTGTAACAGCTTTATGTGTTCGGCCGTTTGTGTCTGTCTCTTCCTCTTCGTAGTGGCTGTCGGCGTATACCTACTGCGTGCGTATGAATCGATAATACCGCAGGCGGCAGATGTAATTAGACGTGAGTTGTTTGTTACACCAGACGTGGATGAGTGTAAGGGTAGCGAGCGAGTGTGCGGTGCGCACGCCTTATGCACCAACACCGTGGGCAGTTTTGTGTGCACGTGCCAGCCCGAGTATACGGGGGATGCACGTGCGCCCAACGGCTGCCGAGACGTTGACGAGTGCGAGGTGCTCGAGCGCCCTTGTGGAACTCACGCACTTTGCGAGAATGCTGAACCAGGATACAACTGTGTTTGTCCTCAAGGATATAGAGCGAAACCAAATCCACAAATCGCATGTGAACAGGTAATATTGAGATTGTTGCCTACAATGTCCAAATAAATAACAACGGTCTAAGGTTACACGTGAAATGTATTTTCTTTCAGGTCGATGTTAACACCTTGTGTAAAACTAACTTTGATTGCACTAACAACGCTGAATGTATCGAAAATCAATGTTTCTGTAAAGAAGGATTTGACGCTAGAGGATCTGTATGTGTAGACAATGATGAATGTGCTTCTAAAAATGCAATATGTGGAGAAAATGCAATGTGTGTCAATACACCTGGAGGGTATAGTTGCGAATGTGCTACTGGATTTGTAGGATCACCCCCGCGCGTAGCTTGTCGCGCCCCTTGTGAAGATGTGAAATGTGGTGACCATGCATACTGTAAGCCAGACGGTAACGAAGCTTACTGCGTCTGTGAGAATGGTTGGACTTTTGACCCTAATGACATCGCCGCTGGTTGTATAGACATTGACGAATGCGACTCTGCTGTTGAATCTGAGCAACGTTGTGGCAGAAACGCAAAATGTACTAATTCCCTCGGAAGTTTCGCTTGTCAGTGTCCTGAAGGATATACTGGGGATGCATACAAACAATGTTTAGATATAGACGAGTGTCACCTAGACGGTACATGCGGTATTGGCGCCGAATGCATAAACTTAGATGGGTCTTATAATTGTGAGTGTCCCGAAGGAACAATACCAGACCCTGATGCCAGAGTGCGTTGTGTTGAAATACTCTCTTGCAAAAATGACAACGATTGTCCTGGAAATGCTTTATGTGATTCTAATTCAAGATGCCTCTGTCCAGAACCCAATGTAGGCAATGAATGTAGACGTGAGTATTTTTCCGTGTGTTTCACATTACAATTATATAATAATGAGATAATCTTATTGTACTTATTCTTATTAATGCTTGTGATAAACCTCATGACATATTTTTTTATTACAGATCCGTGTGAATCTTTGCAATGCGGTAGTAAATCAGAATGTTTGCTAAGTGATCATGTAGCGCAATGCACTTGCCAAAGTGGCTTTACCGGTGAACCGTTATCTCCTAGCGGTTGTCAAGATATTAATGAATGTGAGGCAAATCCTTGTGGCCCAGGTGCTGTTTGTAAGAACCTCCCAGGTCGCTTTCAGTGTGAATGTCCCGGTAGATTTAGCGGCGATCCTTACGTCGACGGTTGTGTGGCAGGAAAAATGCCAAATGAATGCAGTGATATGAATCCATGTCCTCAGGGTGAACAATGTATTTTACACGACGGTGAAAATGTTTGCATTTGCTCTCAAGGTTTCTCACGAAGTAAAGAAACGGGGTTGTGCGAAGACATAAATGAATGTACGCAGCATGGACGTTCCCCTTGCGGATTAAACGCTATTTGCAAAAATTTACCAGGAAGTTATGAATGTAAATGTCTACCAGAATATAGTGGCAATCCGTACAAACTTTGCGTAATATGTAACGATATAAGTTGCCAGTGCCAGCCACCCTACAAAGTAGTTGACGGAAATTGTGTTTTATCAGGCTGCAATAAAGATAATAAGTGTGGAAAAGGAGCTGAATGTATCGTCATTTCTGATGGTGTTAGTTATTGTGCCTGTCCAGTCGGTTTTACACAGAGTACAGATGGCGCGTGTGAAGACATAAACGAATGCACATCCGGACAACCAGTTTGCGGTTTCGGTGCGGAATGTGTGAATACAGTCGGCTCTTTCTTATGTAAATGTCCCCTTGGCTACGGTAAAGATCCAATTTCAGGCCATTGTGCGCTAAACCAAAAGCGCTGTATAAGCGATTCCGACTGCTTTCCGAATGAAAAATGCGTACAGCCCGGTAAATGCGTGTGTCCTCCACCATTCTATTTAGATGTATCAGATGGACAAAAATGTAAGAGTCCCTGCGAAAGATTCACTTGCGGCATTAATGCCAAATGCACACCAAGCGACCCTCCGAGATGTATGTGTATGACGGGCTATGAAGGCGATCCTTACACTGGATGCACAAATAGAAATGAATGCCACAGTGCGCCGTGTGCGTATGGTGCTATATGTCATGATAAAAAAGGAGGATATCAATGCGACTGCCCACAAAATATGGTTGGAGATCCATATAAAACCGGATGTAAGCAATTCACGTTTTTGGGTTTATAAATAATTAAAAAAATCACGGGATATATAAAAACAATAATAAATTATTTGTTTTAGGCTACATCGAGGAAGGGCCTTCACGTTCATTGTGTAGTTCAGATAATGAGTGCCCAAATACACTTGCTTGTATGAACCGTACTTGTATTTCACCGTGTAATATTCTGTCCTGTGGTTCGAATGCGTTTTGTGAAGTCGATAACCATGCTGCGTGGTGTCGTTGCAATCCAGGTTACACTAAACCAGTGAGTGGCAAATGTATTTCAGGTAAATTAAAACGTTCTGTACCATAATTTTCCATTTTGAGCATATTTTAATACGTTTTTTACAAGATTCAATGTTATTTTAGGATGTGATTCATATTCATGCGCGTCTGGAGCCCAATGCATAATATCCAAAACCGGTCCCACATGCGTTTGCCCCGAAGGGATGGTGGGCAATCCATTCCCAGGCGGCACATGTAGAAGAGATGTATGTGGACCCGGTTCTCCTTGTGACGAGCCACTAACATGCGTAGCGGGTCGATGTCGACAACGTTGCGAGGGAGTTGTTTGTGGAGTGGGCGCCTCGTGCGATGAGGAAAGCGGCCGATGCGTTTGTAATGCGTTCTTTGTTGGAAACCCCGATTTGTTGTGTATGCCACGTAAGTGTAATGAAACGAAGGAAATGTAATTATAGGCAAGTTATAAATTATCCATTCAACGAAGGTTTACATTTCTTTCTTTTTACAGCTATTTCTCCGCCAGCCTGTGAGCCCGGTTGTAGTCAAAACGCACACTGTGTTTATGGACAGACGAATGTGTGCAAGTGTGACAAAGGTTTTACGGGAAATCCTTATATTAAATGTTTGCCTCGAAGACAGATAACATGCATTACATCAGTTTGTGGGCAAAATGCTGTATGTCAACAAACAAAATCACATGTCGAATGCTTATGTCCACCAGGATATGTTGGAAACCCCAATTTACTTTGCACCGATATAGACGAATGTAATTCTAAACCATGTGCAGAGAACGCAATTTGTATCAATACGCCAGGCAGCTTCAGTTGTATATGTAAAAGTAGATATGTTGGCAATCCTTACGAGCTGTGCTCTCAAGTCTCGATTTCTAAATGCACAGAAGGTAGTATTTGTACGTGTTCACACAATGCCACATGCCCCGAAGGGTACATTTGCGAAAACTCGAGATGTGTAGACGTATGCCGCACTATGATGTGTGGCCCTAAAGCAATGTGTGAAGAGGGTAATTGTATTTGTCTCCCAGGATATAAAGGAAATCCAAATGACTTACGGCGTGGTTGTGTAGCTGATAACAAATGTACAATGGATGGGGACTGCAAAGATTCAGAGATCTGTTTCCAAATAGCTAATAACGTCCGTAAATGTGTAGATTCATGCAGTAAACTTCAATGTGGTCCAAATTCTTTATGTGTGAGCGCTAATCACCAAGCTCATTGCATTTGCTCCGAAGGCTACGTGGGAAAACCTAGTGACATCAAAACCGGATGCCATCTACAACAAAGAGAGCCGAATGAAGTTGAATGTAACGTAAACAGTGATTGCGACGAGTTGCAAGTTTGTGTAATGGTGGACGGTACTACTAACAGATGTTTAGATCTATGCTCGACTATAGCATGTGATGCCAATGAAGTATGCAATGTAGTGGACAATACTGCTCGATGCGAATGTAAAGGCGGCTTCTTATGGAATCCCGTTACATCTGTATGCGAACAACCTTCTACGCCAAATTGTCAAGTAGACGAAGATTGTGATGACAATAAATCTTGTGAAAGAGATGTCCTTAATGTGAAAAAATGTACGGATAACTGCTTGGTATTTACATGTCCTCAAAATGCAAGATGTGTTACAAGAAATCATAAGAGTCAATGCGAATGTCTATCTGGTTTTGTTGGAAACCCAAACGACCGAGATGGCTGCATAGCATTTAATAAAAACCAGTGTTCCGAAGATGTACAGTGCAGAGAAAATGAGGTCTGCAAAACTATAGGAAATGCCAAGAAGTGTGTACCAGCTTGTCAACAGATTCAATGTGGGCCGAATGCTGTGTGTATTACTAACAATCACGCTGCGAAGTGTGAATGTCCATCTGGACCTTTTACAGGAAATCCAAATGACTTGGAAAAAGGTTGTCAATCAGTACCTTGCATTTACAATACAGACTGCCTATCTAATGAACTATGTAATAGAATGACACACTCTTGTATGAATGCATGTGAAGAAGATACATGTGGCGATAATGCCGTATGTATAGCTGAAAATCACAAAACCAGTTGTCAGTGTCCGAGTGGATTTAAGGCGGACCCTATACCTGAAATCAACTGTAAAAAAATTGAATCATGTAATCCCAATCCCTGCCATCCTACAGCTATATGTGAACCACGCCTTTCATCATATATCTGCAGATGTCCCGCAGGGTTCGTTGGAGATCCAGATAAAACAGGATGCAGAAAACAGGGCGAGTGTTTTAAAGGGGACAACGATTGCCCTCCAGGGGCAACTTGTGTTAATGGACGTTGTGTAAATCCATGTGACGGCGCTTGTGGAATTAATTCACTTTGTAAAATTGTAGACAGAAAAGCAATTTGCATTTGTCCAGATGGATATGAAAATACTCAAGGTGGAAATGTATGTAAAAAAAAAATATTGGCCTGTTCTGCCGAACGCGACTGTGACGGAGATATATGTTCTAATGGACAATGTTTCACTGCCTGTAAAGACTCCAGCCAATGCGACCCAGGTGATTCATGTCTAAAAAACTTTTGCATTACTCAGTGTAGTAAACACACCCAATGTGGTATCGGACAAGCTTGCGTAGGAGGGCAATGTATAATTGGATGCAGAAGCAATGAAAACTGTCCCAGTGATGAAGCATGTGTAAATAATAGATGTGTTAATCCTTGTCTGGCGACAAGAGTTTGTGGCCCTAATGCTATTTGTTCAAGAATTAATCATAGTACTAGATGCGAATGTCCCCTGGGATTTGAAGGCACACCAAGTGCACAACAAGGATGTGTACGAAAACCTACTTCATGTCTTAAAACATCGGATTGTCCACCGGAACACATGTGTATTGGTCGTTTATGCCAAGTACCATGTGAAGATAATTCTGGTTGCGCTATCGGAGAAAAATGTAGCGACAGTAAATGCCATAAAATTTGTCATTCTAGTAGTAACTGCTTGCATGGCGAACACTGCAGTTCAGGTATATGTATACCAGGATGTAAAACAGACTCAGATTGTCACACTAACCAATTATGTAAATCAACAAAATGTGAATGTTCACCTGGATTCCAATTATCGGGAGACGAATGCGTTAATGTTAATGAGTGCATCAACAACCCGTGTCATCCTTCTGCCCAGTGTATTGACACACTGGGTTCTTTTAAATGTATATGTCCGATTGGAGCAGTTGGTGATCCTTTTAGAACTGGTTGCTTACTTCCCAATCAATGCCGTCGTGACAGTCAATGTGAAAACACACTTGCTTGCATAAAAGGAAAATGTTCGAATCCTTGTCAATTGAATGGCTGTGGGTTGAATGCAATATGCTCAGTGGTGAAACACAGGGTCACATGTGCCTGCGAAAAGGGTTATCTGGGAAATCCGTTTGACAAAAACATTGGCTGCTTCAAAGTTGAATGTGTAGAGGATTCAGATTGCGCAAGCGATAAGTACTGCAATAGTAGAAACAACAAATGTACAGGTATGTTAAAAGATAATGTTTTCATTTTTTGTTATTTAAATAATTTTGAAAACCTATTCTAATTTGCCTATTTTTTACAGATAAATGTGAAGATTTCGCTTGCCAAGGCGGGACGTGCAAAATCGAAAGCCATAAAACTATGTGCATCTGTCCTTCTGGATACGATTTAATGAATAGCATTTGTGAGGATCTTAATGAATGTTTGAACAATCCATGTCCCCTAAATGCAAATTGTTTTAATACCCCTGGTTCGTACACTTGCAATTGTGCCAACGGAACCGTTTTGGACTCAAGTAGTGGAAATTGCAGAATACCAGGTGACTGTACAACAGATAATGACTGCTCTGAAAAAACTAAGTGCTACAACAATCATTGCATCGATCCCTGTGAGAAACTTTCACCTTGCGGTCAAAATGCAGAATGCCTTGTTGTAAAACACAATCCCATATGTGAATGTCCACCAGATAGCCAAGGCGATCCTTACAAATCGTGTAGTAAATTTGAATGCGTTAAAGACGCCGACTGTCCGTCAGAAGAAGCCTGTGTTAACTACAAATGCAAAAACTCCTGTAGCATTCCCCGTGCTTGTGGCAGAAATGCCGAATGCCTTTCTAGAAACCACATAGGGCATTGCTCTTGTGCACCGGGATACAGTGGAGATCCGGTTTTAGGTTGTGTTCCTATTCAGTACTGCACAGATGATACCCGATGTTCGTCCGGAACTAAATGCGTTGATAATCTTTGTGTAGGTGAGTTCGCACATTCTTTTAAAGAATAATAATGTTATGATTATTTCCAATGGCGTTTTTGTATACATATATATTTTAATAAATATAATAAATATTTTTGTTTCAGGCCTTTGTAAAAATTCAAGAGACTGTCTTAATGACCAAGTTTGCATTCAAGGAACTTGTCGAATAACTTGCAATTCAAACAACACCTGTCCAGATTTCCAATTCTGTCTTAATAGAATATGTAGTAAAAACGTCCAATGTATATCTAATGATGATTGTGCTGATGATGAACAGTGCACTATAGGTAGAAATGGAATCCCGCAATGTATAGACGTTTGCGAGAGACTTCCTTGTGGTAGACAAGCTACTTGTATTGGTAAATCGCACCAAGCTACCTGTTCATGTAAGCGGGGATTCTTTGGAGATCCTTTGACTGGTTGCAAACGCAAGGAATGCGATTCTGATGCAGAATGTTCCGATGACAAGTTATGTGAAAAGAATATGTGTAAAATCGCATGTCTATTAACAAATGACTGTGGTGATAATTCGATCTGTTCATCTGAAAAACATAAACATATTTGCTATTGTCAACCGGGCTACACTGGTGATCCAGTGAAAGGATGTACACAAATCAATTGGTGTTCGTCAAATCCTTGTGGCAATGGCGCGGAATGTAAAAACGCGAGAAATCGGGCACAATGTGCTTGTCCTGCGGGAACTGTTGGGGACCCATATGACGAAGGATGTCGAAAAGCTCAAGAGTGTCGATTTAACAGAGACTGCCCTGCAGTTGCCCGGTGTACAGTTGTAGATGGCATTAGAAAATGTACTGGTAAGTTTGAACTCTTTCAACGGCACACATAACAACGGTATAATTTAGACAGTGCTTTAAGAAACGTATGTTTGTAATTTTTTTAAGTCTTTAACATCATATTAAAGTCAGCTATCACATGTAGAATAACCCCATAAGATTTTACTTACTTTTTACCAGCCTGTATTTGTTATTGGCATCCCATTTTCTTTTTGCAGACGCCTGTGAAAATATAAAATGTGGTTCTAGTGCAGAATGTGTGGCCACAAGACATGTTGGTCAATGCAAATGCAAAGCAGGATACGTAGGAAATGCTGATGCTGAAGGTTGTCGTTTACGTGAAATAACTTGTACGGGCAAAGTAGACTGTCCGGGTGATTATTACTGTCACAAGGGAATATGCAAGAGTAAGTACATAGAATATCAAAGAATTATTCACACTAAAAAAATTGTGATATATTAATAACCCAATCTTTTTTGTAGATCTTTGTCTCCTAGACGAAGAATGCGAATCTAATGAAAAATGTAGCAATGGTCAATGCATTGATCCTTGCAAAACTGAGAAAGCTTGCGGTTTAAACGCAATGTGCCGCACCGATAATCATATTACACAATGCAGTTGCCCTTACAGTTTCACAGGAAATCAGGACGTCGAATGCGTAAGAAGTGAGTGTCTTATAAGCCGGAGAGAATAGAAACACACATAAGGTGTTTTCATTACCTATTAACGTATAATGTATTTTCAGTACCGAGATTGTGTGGCGCTGCTGGTGAATGTGAAAATGGTCACATGTGTCGTGACTCTATGTGTATTCCTCAGTGCAAAGCTGATGAAGAATGTGCTCTAAATGAACGCTGTTCGAAGGGAGCTTGTCTTTGTAAGTTATTTGATAAATGGCAACTCATTTCAAGAATTCATTAAAATGGTAATGATCAAAAAATACTTAAACCATTAACATATAATTGAGTTAATGGAAATTATATTTATTTTACAGTAACATGCAGAGTCGATAACGACTGTTTCCTCGGGCATATCTGCCTAGCTAACGCTTGTCAATACGGTTGCCGACAAGACGAAGACTGCGGACCTAATGAATTCTGTAAAAACAACTTCTGCCAAAATCCGTGTGCGAACGATATAAATCCATGTGGTCCGAACGCCTTATGTTCAGTTGTAGATAGAAAAGCTTTATGTTCCTGTACGGAAGGACTCATACCAAATCCAACGCCTAACATTGGCTGTATCAGAACACAATCACTAACATGTCGAATGCATACTGATTGTGCCGTGGGTTGGAGATGTGAAGACGATCGTTGCAGACCTGCTTGTACACTTGATGGATCAGAATGCCTGCAAGGAGAACGATGTGATTCCGGAGTTTGCCGATTTGCTTGTACAGCTGATGAGCACTGCTCGGACGATGAAGTATGTGATGGCCGTATATGCGTTACGGGCTGCCGATCGAACAATCACTGTCCCGGCCATCTAGCATGTGTATCAGGACAATGTGTAGACCCTTGCACAACTCCTGCCACTTGCGGTGCTAATGCATTATGCGCGACCAATGACCATCAACCTGTGTGTACATGCCCTAGTAATCTCGTTGGAGATCCAAAATCTGTATGTAGAAGGATTTCATCGTCGTGCAATACGGATAATAACTGCCCTAATGGATTTAGTTGCTACGGAGACATATGCTATCCATCTTGTAGAAGGTACGATTATACTAGGAAAGAGTTCCTTTCTTAGTTTTATGATAAATAAGATATCGATCCAGCTATAATTAGCTATTGCTTCTTACATATTAATAAATGTTATGTTTTTTATTTCCAGTGACAATATTTGTTTATCAAATGAAAAATGCATTAGAGGTATATGTAGAGTCGTATGTAACAGTGATGACGCTTGTAACGAGGGTCACATCTGTGAGAACAGGATTTGTAAACAAGGCTGTAGAGATGACAATGCTTGTGACGAAGTTCAAGCTTGTTTAAACGGACAATGCAAAGGTGAGACATTTGAAAGAACGATAAAATATGAAAATATTTACTGTTCCAAATTTTGTATTAGATTGACCAGTTCGATAGCCTTTTAGCCTAAAAACAAATTTTATGATTTATTTATATTATTATCCATTACTTATATTTGTTTTTCTTTCTAATACAGATCCGTGTAAAGAGAGTGGAATCTGTGGTATTTGCTCAGAATGTCAGGTTTTAAACCATCGCGCTCAGTGTAGTTGCTCTAGCAATTATAGCGGTAACCCGCTCGTGGAATGTAAAAGAAAACGACTGCAATGTGATGGCTATTGCCCTTGCGACGATAGTGGATACTGCATATCACTATGTGACGACAATTCCCACTGCAACTGCGGTGAAAAATGTTTCAATGGAGGCTGCAGATCATTATGCTCAACAAGAAATAAATGTCCTGAAAGGCAAATATGTCTTCAGGGAGTTTGTATGCCTGGTTGTAACACTGATAGAGATTGTGGTGACGACATGTTGTGTTCATCTAAACTTTGTGTTAAGGCATGCCGTGAAAACTCTTGTGGTAAAAACGCTATATGTCTAGCTACTCGACACAGAGCTGTATGCAGTTGTCCTAGCGGATTTTCGGGAGACCCTATGAAAGATTGTAAATCGTATGAGTGTTTGCACGACGAAGATTGCGGCTCAGATGAAGAATGCAATCCAGATGGAAAATGTAAGAACGTTTGTTTAGGCGCATGTGGACTTAACGCTATTTGTCGCTCTGTAAACAGAAGTCCACAATGTACTTGCCCACCCAATTATTTGGGCAACTCAAAAGTGGAATGCACTAAATCATCAGCTGGTAGTTGTTTACGCAATCCTTGTGGAGTAAACGCCCGTTGTCGTGACTTGGACGATGGTAGCTACGAATGCACATGCCCCCCTGGCTGCGCTGGTAACCCACAAAGACAATGTTTCTGTGGAACTATGGAGCCATGTGCTTATAAGCCGTGTGGAATGAATGCACAGTGCCGTATAGGACAGAACGGCGAGGCACAATGCTATTGTCCCCGTAATTATCCTAACGGAGACCCAAATATAGAATGTAAGTAACTGTTCATACTAACGACTTTATTTTAATTCCAGACGTACATAAAAATATCTTTACCCATTTAGAGTTACGGTTGCGCAGCGAAGTAAATTAATTCTTTGATTTTTAGGTGCTCTTGAACGGAGTGTAGTTGATTGTAGAACAACAGGATGTGGAACCAACGGAGAATGTTTGAGAGAAGGTGCCGAATTTGTATGTCGATGCGTTCCCGGTACTGAAGGCCAAGCAGACATCGAGTGTCACACCAGTGAGTATACATACACCGTCGCATATCATCACCCGTTACCTATATTTTGACACCTGTATAAATGCACGATATCAATTTTACATACTTCACACGATTAAGCCATAATTGTATTGTTCAATTTTGGTAACCAAATTCTCCAGTGTATAAAGTTTACCGTCAAGATTTATTCTATTGTACGTATCTGGGGTCTTTTCCCACACATTCATGTACATACAAAAGGGTTCATATGGCAAACTATGTAGTGAAAATCTTGGCGCCTTCGGCAATTCTAGAACCTTCATAAAACCAAAATATTAAAAATAATCTGATTTCAATAGTAGAATCAAGTACTTTAACGTGCAAATATGTTTTCCATTCAACGTAGTAATGGTGTAACATATCTGTACTTTATATTGATGTTAGTGGAAGCATTCTCACCGTTTGTGCTTGAATTTATCAATCAATCAGTAACATTTTGTTCGGCTTCATGTACATACCGCTTGTATTATATACCGTTATATACATATTTTTCAGTCATAAACTCTCAGTTTCAAAGAGCATGCACTGTCTCGTGAGAAAGTTTCCTCTTCGCGGCTAAAGGTACCGCTCTTTCGACTCTGCTTTCTTCTTTCACATCTTCCTAGGTATCGAATGTACGAGCGACAAGGATTGTCCTGTAGACAAAGCGTGTTTGAGCTTACGTTGCGTGGACCCGTGCACCGTGCGAGGTGTGTGTGGCGAAGATGCGCTCTGCGTGTCACTGATGCATCGCGCGCAATGCTCATGTCCGCAATGTTACATCGGCCAACCACGACTCGCCTGCCGTCTGGATCCCAACTGCAAACCCACAGCTGACCTAAACTCTACCTTTACCTGCTCTGAAACAAAGGCATGCCCTTCGAAACTAGCCTGCGATCTCAGCACCAATCAATGCCGAAACCCATGCCTCAATTACCACAACTGTAGGCGAAATCAGAAATGTGAGGTCCGAAATCACAAACCTGTGTGTGTTTGTCGAAATGGATTCGCATTAAATGAGAAGGGTGAATTAACCTGCGCTCCGGAACACGCTGAATGTACGAGAGATGAACAATGTCCATCTAATGCGGCCTGTCGTAATTCGAAGTGTGTGAATCCATGTTTAGCATCTAAAGTGCCAATGTGTCCCAAGGGCAAACAATGCGAAGTGGTGGAGCACCGCGCCACATGTTTGTGTGTCGAAGACTGTAACCCGACGGTGTCGATATGTTTGAGAGACAATGGATGCCCAAACAATTTGGCCTGCAAAGATTTCCAATGCAAAGATCCTTGTAAAGGGGCGTGTGGTGGTGCACCTTGTTCAGTGGAAGATCACCATCCAGTATGCAAGTTTTGTCCGCAAGGATTCACACACGATGACAAACACGGCTGCATTAAAGGTAATTCCACCGTGAACACAGAGTTCCAACATTACAGTACCATTATGTATTTAGACAGAATCTTATTAATATTTTTCTTCATATTACAGGAAATGTTGATAGTTCTCTACTTTATGTCTTCACGCGGCTCTTTTTCTATCTTTCCTCTTTATGATACAAGCATGTTTATAATATTTATCTTTTTCCACAGTTTGAAACTTCTTCTGCATCAGGTAGTTTTTCAAGCATGGTATTATGTTATTTGTGTAAATACATATTTATTCACTTTGATATAACTATCACTTAGACATTTGGTGACGGGGCGCTTGTCTTAATCTTAACGCTTGTAATGCTATGCATTAACCTGTTGTGCAATAAAACTGCCACGAGACAGAGTTTGCAATTATTTAATTATATTGGTCATTTGTAAGTCACATTTGACTGTTAATTATACAGTTTCCGTAGTACCTATGTATAAACTTGTAATGTATACGTATTTTAAGACAATACTTCTTGAAGCACGTACTTACTAGATACTTTTGTATTCGCTTTTAGTTTCCTTACTACAACGGAAACGAATTGGACTATCCCAAAAGAGAGACCTATTAATTTGTAGTTTATATGATCGTATTGTGTATTTATTGCCCGTGTATCATTTGTTTTAATTTTTTTTTATCCAAATACATGATAATGAAATAAATGGCAACTTTAGATTACAGCTGGTAGAACACGAGCATTGACTAATGCAGTTATTCCATGCACAGCTTTAGAATGCGGTGCCCACGAGCACTGTGCGCCTGGACTCGCGTGTATGGAGGGACGATGCTCAGATCCATGCGCGCGTGGCGGACCCTGCACGCCCGGGCAACATTGCGCTGTCGTCGACCATCAGCCTGTTTGCTCGAAGGGTACGCATATATACATCACTACAATTCGCGAAACGTTTCTGAAACCAATTCAACAGTTCTAAAATTTAGCGACCTTTAGGGTTACGTATTTTTAATCTAATACAATTTAAATTTGTTATACGAGAATATTCAATGTTATTTCTATTTACCAGTTTGTCAGTGTCAAACATCGTCTGACTGTGCGAGATATCCGAATACGTTCTGCGATGGCTGTGCTTGTGTTGGTGGTAAGTTTTAGTCATATTTGTTGTTGTTGTAGTTACACTGAGGTCACGTGTATATGTACTTCTGCTCCAAAATAGGTTAGTTTTATTCTTGTTGTAGATGTTATTTATGTATCTTTTGTACAAAAGTGAAAATCCGTCTTCAAAATGCTACTGTGATTTAGGTTTCTAATAATGTTTTCTGGGGTGTAGGTAAAGCTACCGCGAACTGTGCACATTGTCGTCCCGGCGTTCCCTGTGATCCATTTTCCGGAGCCTGCATGGAAAGTAAGTCTAAATCATATTTCTACCTCATACTTAAAACAAACTTTAAAATGCTAATATTAATAGTTTTAACTTTGCTAATTTATTTTAATGCCTTATGTGTTTTAGCTAACTTTTATCAAATTTTGATGAAACACATACAGGACTTCGTTGAGGCTTCTTTATACTCATGCCATATTCACGCAATGGACGTATCGCGGACTCCTACCATAAAGCTAGCAAGTCTGCGGTTACTTATCATGTGAATAGCAAAACTAACTCCAGATGAACTGGTTGTTGCTATAGTGTATCATTTGTCCGATAAAACGCCACAAAATACTGGCAATTTCACCTCGGCACGGCAGACCCGGCAGGCAAAACGAATTTATATGCTGTTGTCAAAAAATATTTTTGTAGAAATTATTTGTAGTTTCACAGGATTCGGACCGCAAAACATTTTCAGCTGTATCTTTAAGGAACACTGTATAAGTTTCTATTTCAAAACAAACCTACCCAATTATAGGCTTAATATTTGCAATCTTTGCATTTAATTTCTATTTGTTATTATTTATTAAGTCAGATACTGAGTAAGCATAAATTAAAAAATATTAAGCCTAAAAGCATCTTCATTCCTATCGTTCATTCTTCGGTCAAGTGGTTATGGGGCGTGTAACCAACACTGCATGATGTTTATCCTCCAATACTGGAAGTGACAGCATGACTACCTACTATGTCTTTATTTACACATCTATATCCATACATAATCGCATTACGCTAGTATTGCATAATTTAATAGTATTTTCATTCTCTGTATTATATTTTTTTTATTATGCATATAACGTTTTTTATTATACGTTCTTATTAACAGATGACCAACCTAAAAATGTCCCAATAACAGAAACATACTCCGATTTAACAACCACAAGCAAGACGTCGGAAAGAAATGAATTCACTACAGTCTTAACTACATACACTGACACAGCCCTTTATACTAACAAAGAATCTACAACGATGACTTTAACTTCAAATTTAGACAATACTAAAAGTACAACTGAAAATAGACCAACGATAATGACAGATGTAACAGACATAAATTCCATGGAACAATCCAAAACAACAAAGCACAGCGCTGTTATAACTACGACTACGCAATCTAACGTCGATGTTACCAGCGCTAAAGAATTTACACACATGTTTACAGAAAATAATGACATCACGTCGCCTTTAAGTACAGTTGCCGAAAATGGTATTGAAGCTAGAACGGAATCTGACGATAATATAATAACTGATAAGGTACTTATTGATTTGGAACATATTGCGTTCACTAATGCACCTCACACTACTGGAACAACTATTCCGGAAACTAACACCGAGACAACGCTAACTATATCAACTTCCGACACCACATCGTACACCACAGAGATGTTACCTACAGAGATGATTAAAGCTACAACAGAATCAAAAGATATAAATGAAACTACTACTAATATCCCGTCTGCTGCTGGCAATGATGGCACAGAATTTGTTACACAAAATACTATATTCTACACCGACACTGGTAGTAAAAATTACACCACCACGCTGGACTCGGATGAACTAGTACAAAGTAGCAGTACCATACATATTGAGAGTACTGAGAAACCTTATATAAAACGCAATGAGTCATCAGAATCTTCAACACCATCTACAGAAAGCAAAAATACCAAAAATCCTGAAAATCAGAGACAGTTAAATAATAACTATACAGAACCTACTCAGGCTACTAAATTAAGCACTCTTTCCTTACCCACTACTTCTAATATCGATGCCACTACAACTACTACTAGTAGTAAATTATATACAACAGTTCCCGCTTTGACAACAGAAACTATTCAAGTAGTTACATCACAATTTTCCACACTCACGACTAAAAATGAAATCGATACTGAGACTTTGGTAGACAAAACCACAAACAATATTATGATATCAACAGAGACGTCAGAAAGTAATACAGCCGAAGTTGTAACGGCTGATACCTTCGAAGTCACGTCTAGTACTGAATCTAAAACTGCGTTAACAGAATCTATTAGCACAGATTTACCATCAACGATTGTACATGAATCAAGTATGATGACAAGTACTGAATCAGATAAAATCAGTACCCTACAAAGTGCACAAAGTACAGAAACTATAACCGATAGTACTCCAATACAATCTAAAATAGGTACTACAACTGGCACGACAACTTCGCTTGTTCAAAAATTAACAACACAAAATGAATTTTCTGTTGTTACAATATCGACAGCTGAAGTAACAGTTGATCAAATTTTACTTTCGCAAAATAATTCATCACCAGTTTCAACGGCTTCCACGGTTCAAGTTACAGAAAATGAACAAACAGGATTATTTACGAATGAGATAAATTTAAAAGAAAACGAAAGTACCACTTTACCTGACATCAGAACTGACAAAGAACCAGAAATAACGACCCAATTACACAGAAATCACGTAACAGACTATACTACAGAATCAACAAGTTTTACACAGAAGAATAATATAGGTTCAACTAGCGAATTTCGTGATTTTACTACAACAGACACAACAATGTTTAGAACATCAACAGGTGCACAACATTTTATAACATCTCCGGTATCACATACGTCTGATACTGTTATTACAGACATAGAAACTGTTACTAGCCCTATGTTACAAAACGAAGTAACCGATGAAACTACCACTGATCATATAATTTCGACATCGTATGATGTAAAATTAGAAACAAGTACTTTACTCACACACACAACTCGAATGGAAATGTCTAATACTACTATAGATACATCACATGAAATATCCACTAAGACGTTTGAAGATGATATTACTACTAATACATTACAAGACCACGATCAAACTGCTGGTCTGAATTCGACGTTGACAACCGAATATTTAATAGAAGCCAGAACGCAACCCAGTACCAATGATGATACCACGTCAGGTTTGAAAGATATTATAGTCACAGAAAGCACAAGTGGTATCTCTAATTTAGAAAAAACAACTGAAACAAGGAAAGATATAGTGATCACTACAAATAATGCAGAATCTTTGAAGAAAGTTACAGAAGTTCCTTACTCTAATGCTGATACCACTGAAAAAGAAATAATTCCATCTTCTACTTTATGGGAAGACATTCAGACGTCTTCTCGGAAAACAACCCAGCAAACTCATGCTTCCGACGATTATTATTCCACACAAAACAACAAAGAAACCACACGAAACATAAAAGACACAATGCCTTTTACAAAGCCTACAATTCAGTCACAATTTTCAACTCATCCAGTTTACGACGAATATACTATTGCAATGTCCGGTCCATCAAAAACAACAGAGACTATGTTAGATTTTTCAACAAGCAACTCATTTACAAATACAGTTTTGAATGAAGAAACTACCAGTACAATAACTTCGTATACGAAACTTTCTCAGGAAGATATTACCAAACCATATGAAATTTCAACGCCTTCTGTAACAGAGACTACAAAGCGCGATTATACCGATAAAGACACAGAATTAGATATTAGTACCATAAAAGAAGAAGTTGGTGATAGTACTATTAGGCAAGAAAATTTTGCACAATCCACAACACAAACAACTAGTGGTTTGGATGTGACTTCCAGCAATAGTTCTTTTGATCAAATTGACAAAATATTTACTCAAGAAACATCTCAAACTACACAAGAGGGGTTAGAAATTACGTCGACCACAAGCTATAAATCTATACATATATCAGATTTGACATCTGAAAGTATTACAGCTCACTCATCAGAATCGGAGCATGATAGTATTACAGAATCCAACGAAGTTATCACTACTGATAGAAGCACTTCAAATATAATTGTCACTGATTCGTATCCTATAAATACTGTAGTTATTGTTACATCTCAAAGCATTGATAATCAAAGTACAACTTTGAAACAAAATGATAATACTGAAGGTGTTAGTACTGTTACTACTTCTACTATTAGTTCTCAATCTTACACTATGAACACGCACACTGATACTACACCTGAGCCTATGGCTGGCACCAGAATAAGTATCGAATCTACAACTGAACAATTTCCTGGTTCTGTACCTTCAAAACAAGAAACTGACGCTACCGCTGCAATTCATACAACGACCGTAAGCATAAATAATAATATGCCTTATGACATGGATTATACTGGGACACAATTTGAATCAACTGTGGATAATGTTGTAACAATGACACCTAGTACATCTACTACAAATATCTATAATCCTGATATAACAAAAGTTAGTACAAATGTACAAGAAACTACATCAGAAACTGAAACATTTATTACAACTACTGAATCTGAATCAAAACCTCAAGTCACTTTTGCTCCTAGTACATCTACTACAAAAATTACAGAAGCTTCTACAAAAACACAAGAAATTACATCAGAAACTGAAATGTTTATTACGACTACCCAATCAAAGTCAAAACCGCAAGCAACTACTACTGTACATTACTCTCCTGTAACTAGTATACCTACAAAATCCCACCTCTTTGATATAACGGCAACTCCGATAACTATGACTGAAAATATCGAGAAATCGCCCGATGCTAGTACGTCTACTGAAAATATGTCACCTAGACAAAGAGAGAATGTTGATATTTCTGCTTGGACTGACTCTACTTTGACAACTGACTTGACTTCGACTGAAAGCAGTGTACAAACTTCTGAGACTGTTACTAACCTAAAACAATGTGAAGTGAATTCACAATGTTCAATGAATAAAGCCTGTTTGAACGGAGTATGTCAAAATCCGTGCGAGCCAGCCAGAAATCTTTGCCCAAAGAGTGTCGCCTGTAAAGTCGTCAACCACACTGCCGTTTGTGTATGCGATGATGTCGCTGGTGTCTACTGTGTGCGAGGTATGCATTTTTTATTTGCATACCATATTTGAGTATTTTTTTCTTGATACGTATATATTCATAATTCCTTGTGGTATCTAAAAATTTGTTTAATTGAGAATCGTTTTATCGGACAAGTGTTATTGTACATAATAAAAATAATAAAGTAATATATTAATATTAATTCAAAGATTGGTTTAATTCATGTAAATAAATATCTTTTTTTACCTACACATTATAACATGTCTTATAATTTAACGTATACTAACTAATAACCTGTAATATATAGAATCACCTGGGACAGCTAAGACACCTGAACCCTGTCATTCTGATCGTGACTGTATAGAAACAGAAGCTTGTTTCATGGGTTTATGTGAAAACCCTTGTGAGTTTGACAATGTATGTGGCATTGGAGCTAAGTGCCATCCAATAAAACAAAGGCCAATGTGTTCATGTCCCGCCGGACACGACGGAGATCCTGCTGTTAAATGTTCACCCAAAATATGTAAGCCACAATTGACTAATTTAATGAATTATGTCGACAAATTGTAAAACTCCTTCTTTAAGAAATAGCGTTACCTTTCTAAGATTTAATAAAAATACATGTAAACTTGGAGCATTCATTATTTGTCGATATGAGAAGTGTTAAATAATTGCACCGTATGTTATAATTAATAACTCAATAAATTACTAAAAACTGACTCCACAAATGGTTGTGGTAATTTGTAAAATTTAATATTTCCACTCATCCGAAGAACAGAGTCTGATGTGATTGATTATACAGCGAAAATATGATAAATATATAATCTCGTTACTTAAAGTAAGGCCTATATATACGTTTTTTGTTATAATTTTTATATCTTATTTCGATTCGGACATACCTATAAAATCGAACACCGGTCGATCTGATATCCACAGCGAAGAACAACTAACGAAATGTATAATTTTCTGAGAATATGCACATGTGCCTTATCTTGCACATATGCCTTTGTTCTACGGATGAGTCGATTTATGTCTTATTTTAATATATTTAAAAAAAATTCAATAAGCACTGTATGAAAATAAAAGAATATATAGAAAACCAATAGATTACTTATAAGATCTTTTGTATATTGCACTTTAACTTTTATTGCATGATTAACTTTGTATAATACATGAAATTTTACGTTTTACTCAGTTGGTTGCACTCGAAATGAAGATTGTCACTTGACTGAGGCTTGTATAAATAATGCATGTCAACACCCATGTGCCATACACAATCCATGTGCACCAAATGCAGTCTGCATAAATACGAATCATGGGTCAGATTGTAGTTGCGTCGAGGGATACCAAGGAAACGGATACGTTGGATGTGTACCAGGTAATTAATTTTTCATCATTCGTAGCCCATCTTAAGGATCAAACATATTAATAATGTGTAATAAATGCTTATTTTTAGTAATGGATTCACATTCAGTATGTCAATATAATGAAGACTGTCCACCGGAGTTACTATGTGATAGATTGAACAGAGTATGTATCAATCCGTGTTCTGCGGATAAATGTGGAGATAATGCTGAATGCGTCCCTTCAAACCATGGGATCGAGTGTAAATGCTATGCTGGTTATACAGGAAATCCGTTTTTGGAATGTTATCAAGGTAAGAACAGCTCATTTGGTGCAGTGACCTACACATAATAAACTTAACAGGATTTTGTTAATATGTTTATATGTATATGTTATTTTTTAGTACAAGGCTGCCGATCCGATAACGAATGTGCCAATTCAGAAGCTTGTATTAATGGAAAGTGCGGATCTCCATGCCGCTGTGGCTTAAATGCCGTCTGTGAAGTTCTAAATCATCGCGCTTCATGCAAATGCCTGTTAGGTTACAACGGGAACCCTCTACTTGGATGTGAGCCTCCAGCAAACCCATGTTCTCCAAACCCTTGCGGAACAAATGCTCTATGTGAAAGTGAAAATGGGAAACCCGTCTGCTATTGTCCGATAGGATTGACTGGAAATCCTTTCCAGAATTGCAGTGAGTATCTAAATATTGCTTTTATATTCGTTTACGTAACATATTTTAATGTGAAGTAATTTATGTTTTTTTTGTTTGTTTTAGTTCCGGAAGGAAATGAATGCGAACCAAATCCATGCGGCCCATTCTCAGATTGTAGATTAATAGACAACAAACCTGCTTGTTTTTGCTTACCGAATTATGAAGGAAACCCTCCTAGGCATCAATGTAGATTACCAAATAACCCCTGTAATCCATCACCTTGTGGGCCTAATACACAATGTACCGTACTGCCCAATGGATTCTCTAAATGCACCTGTTTGCCTGGGTTCATCGAAAGTCCCAATACCATCAGAGGTTGTATTGAAGCAAGAAATCCATGCGAACCAAACACTTGTGGAATTGGAGCTAGATGTGACCCGAATAGGAAACCGGCATGCTACTGCCCCGAAAACACACTCGGTAATCCATACAAATCTTGTGTCATACAAGGTTATCTACCACCTGATGGTTTTTGTAAACCAGGGCCTTGTGGGTCAAACGCAGACTGTTATGTAAGCAGTAACATGGAAATGTGTTTCTGTAAAGCGGGTTTCACTGGAAACCCATATAGTGGCTGTCAACCGCTTAGAAGTTCTTGCATTCCTAATCCATGTGGACCACAGGCATTATGTAACTCGAACTACGATGGTCAAGCTATTTGTAGTTGCGCAGAAGGCAGTACAGGGGATCCCTACGGAGTAGACGGTTGTCATTCTCGAGAGTGTGAAGTGGACGATGAGTGTGCTTCCAATAAAGCATGCATCGGTTACACTTGCCGTGATCCCTGCCCAGGGGCATGTGGTTTGAATGCCCGATGCCACGTGGAGTCCCACCACCCAGTTTGCGTATGTGAAATCGGATTTATAGGAAATCCTCTTCTCTGTTGCTTGCCACCAGAAGACTCCAGAAATGTTGGTCCATGTAACAAAGTACAATGTGGTATCAACGCCATTTGCCAGGATGTCGGAGATAAAGCTTTATGTTCTTGTCCTTCTGATTTCTTCGGCGATCCAACAGTCGAGTGTAAACCAGAATGTGTCATGAATTCCGACTGTCCTTCCAACGCAGCCTGTATTAATCAAAAGTGCACAGATCCATGCGCTTTTAATAATATTTGTGGAATTAATGCAGAATGCATCTGCTCCGATCACACTGTATCATGCTTATGCAGAGATGGGTACATTGGAGATCCTTTGATACAGTGCATGCCCAGACGTAAGTGTTTTATCTTATAACTGTTAAACAGTATAATCTAAGAAATAACGAATAGTCTTATTTATTTTACGTATATGACTTACCTGAACTACTATTCTTATTTCAGCCATAGTGGTAATTCCAGACAATACAACTGCGCAACCTTGTTCACCGAACCCGTGCGATCCCAATGCTGCATGCGATGCATATGGCGATCTGTTTGCTATTTGCGATCCTTGTGTTGGACCAAATGCATTAAACAATCCAGCTTGCAGACCAGAATGTGTTCTAAGTTCCGATTGCGGATTTAACAAAGCTTGTCTAAGAAACCGATGCGTTGATCCATGTCCTGGATCATGCGGTATAAACGCGGAGTGTACAGTCTATCACCATGACCCAATATGTCAATGCGTTCGAGGTTTTGGAGGAAATCCTTATGAACATTGCAAACCTACAACTAAACGTAAGTATTGTTTAAATTTTTTAATAGAATAAAAACATTTTTGAATCTTTGGGATTATCAAATTAATCAGTAAATAATGAATAAACAAAATCTTTCTTTACAGCCATTACACATGAAACTTGCGATAATGTTCGATGTGGAATTAACGCTGTATGCCAAAACCTAAATGGAGCACTCACTTGTCAATGTTTGCCCGAATTCTTCGGTAACCCATACATATCATGCCGTCCTCAGTGTGTCGCCAACAGTGACTGCCCTCCCAACTTAGCATGCTTAAACAATAAATGCGAAAACCCCTGCAGAGGTGTATGTGGAGTTGGAGCGCAATGTGATACAATAAATCATCACGCAGTGTGTTACTGCGCTTCAGGCCAAACTGGTGATCCTTACGTTAGGTGTCAAGTGATACCTATAACACCTCCGCTGGTATCTACTTGCGATCCATCACCATGCGGTCCTTACAGTCGCTGCTTAGTGACACCGTCTAGTTTTGCGGTGTGTTCATGCTTACCAGGTTTTAGAGGAGTAGCACCAATGTGTCAGCCCGAATGTGTTAGCAACTCTGATTGTCAACAAACTGAAACGTGTGTAAATCAAAGATGTTCCAACCCATGCCACGGTAGTTGCGGAATCGGTGCTGATTGCTTAGTCGTAAATCACAATCCCATTTGCAGTTGTGGTCCAGGAAAAACAGGAGACCCATTTTCCGCATGTGCTGTAATCGTTGAAGTCCCTGACCCTATCGTTAAAAATCCCTGTACGCCATCTCCGTGTGGACCTAATTCAATTTGTGAAATTAAATCAAATCACCCTGTATGTTCGTGTCAACCAAACTATTCGGGAACTCCACCTTACTGCCGACCAGAATGTGTTATTAGTCAAGAGTGCCCTGCAAATAAAGCGTGTATCAACGAAAAATGTGTAGATCCTTGCATTGGTGCATGTGGAAATAATGCTAAATGCGATGTCGTAAATCATACACCCTTATGCAGTTGTTTAGAAGGATACAGAGGAGATGCGTTCATAGGATGTGTCGGAATATCAAAATACGATACTCGTACACCTTGCAATCCATCGCCGTGTGGAGAAAACACAATTTGTACAGTCGTTAACAATGCAGCTCGTTGCTCATGTATACCACCAAACATCGGTAACCCTTACGCCGGAGGCTGTCGACCTGAGTGCACCATAAATTCGGATTGTCCTAACCACCTGGCCTGCTTGTCAAATCATTGTCGCGATCCTTGCAAAGATTTATGCGGTGTGAATGCTGAATGTACCGTAACAAATCATATCCCCGTGTGCACTTGTTTCAAAGGCTATGAAGGCAATCCGTTTTCGTCATGTCGTCCTGAGTATAAGCCACGTAAGTTATATATAAATCGATAGAAGTAACATAAATCTTCACAAAGTGATTTTGTATACAGGTAGTTGTACGTATATTTTATTTTTACAGCTGTTCCTTATAACCCATGTGAACCATCTCCATGTGGACCAAACAGTGAATGTAACATTGTAAATGACCGAGCAGCATGTTCATGTAAACCTGGTTACATTGGTGCGCCAACTGCTTGCCGTCCAGAATGTGCGGTTAGCTCCGATTGCCCGATTAACAGGGCGTGCATAAATCTTAAGTGTAAAGATCCCTGTATAAACAGTTGTGGCCTTGATGCTCGTTGCCATGTTATTGGTCATAATCCAATTTGCACATGCCCTGACCACATGCCTGATGGTGATCCTTTTATTCAATGTCAGAAAAACGGTGCGTATTTTGAAAAATAAATTCTGTAATTTATCTTAATTTTTACATTTACGTTTGTTAGTAAACCAGAACTATGTTTTCGCAGTGATAAGTAATAGACATCCAGATCCATGTCTTCCTTCACCTTGTGGACCACATTCGACTTGTCGCACCGACAGTAGTCGCGCTGTTTGTGCGTGTGAGGCAGGCATGTTAGGCGCACCGCCCGCTTGTCGACCTCAGTGTGTTATCAACCAAGACTGTCCATTAGCACTTGCCTGTCTTGCCGGTACCTGCGTCAATCCCTGCGTTGGATCGTGTGGGTTCAACACTCGCTGCAGCGTGCAAAATCATCAACCTATTTGCACCTGTGATGTCGGCTATTCAGGCGATCCTTTCGCTGGTTGCAGTCGTTTTGAAGGTAAGCCAAGTTTTATTTGTAAAGACTACATTATTATGTGCATGTACATATTATCATACTGCATGTTATCGTTGTATGTCTATAGCACATTTTATATGAAATACATTACAGTTCCAAAAGACGAGCCACGACATCCTTGTAATCCTTCGCCTTGTGGAGCTAATGCTATCTGTCGGGAAAGAAATGGTGCTGGTTCGTGCACTTGTGTAAATGATTTTCACGGGGATCCATACTTAGGCTGTCGTCCAGAGTGTGTTATGAACAATGATTGTGACACAGACCGATCATGTTTCAATAATAAATGTGTGGACCCATGTCCTGGCACATGTGGACAGAATGCGGAATGTAGAGTTGCAAACTACGCCCCTTCATGTTACTGCTTACCTGGATATACTGGAAATCCTCTGCATGCATGTACACCTGTTCTATGTAAGCTCTTTATTCTACATTTCCTTATTTACTTTGAATCTTACTTTATTTCCTACTGTATATGTATCTTTACTTACTTTTATCTTTACTTTAGCTATTCCGGTACCTGTCGACCCTTGCCACCCTTCACCTTGTGGACCCTATAGTATTTGCCGTACTTTTAACGGACACGCAGTTTGTACTTGTCTTGAAATGTGCATTGGTTCGCCACCAAATTGTCGACCTGAATGTATCGTTAGTTCCGATTGCCGACCCGATAAAGCATGTATTAATCAAAAGTGTAAAGATCCATGCCCTGGAATGTGTGGTCTTAATGCGCAATGTCAAATCGTAAACCACAATCCTATATGCAGCTGTCTGAGTGGCTTTACTGGGGATCCTTTTGTAAGATGTTTCATTGAAGAAAGTAAGTGTCAGTTGATTGAATTTACTTACTCCGATATATTATTTCACGATAAACCTTGGATTTTAATTACAATTCATTTCTACAGGACCAATGATACCAATCAATCCTTGCATTCCAAATCCTTGTGGTCCACATTCTCAATGCAAAGAAATTAACGGAGTACCTGTCTGTTCGTGTCTGGGTAATTATGTGGGTCGACCACCAAATTGTAGACCAGAATGTATGATAGATGTGGAATGTCCTGGAAACTTGGCATGTATATCCGAAAGATGTAGTGACCCATGTCCCGGTTCATGTGGTCTTCATGCTACTTGCACGGTAGTGAAACATGTACCAATTTGTACTTGCGACCAAGGATTTACAGGAGATCCATTTTCGGGATGCTCAGTTATGCTACGTAAGTTTTTCATATCATGAAGAAATATCTTTGCGAATATCGTCAAAATAGACTTTTTGAAATTGATATCGAATTTTTAATTTTGTAGCAATTGAACCTCAAATTGAAAGTCCATGTTCCCGATCACCTTGTGGTGCTAACGCAGTATGTAAAGAAAGACATGGTGTTGGATCATGTTCGTGTCTACCAGATTATTATGGCGATCCATACATTGAATGCAGACCTGAGTGTGTGCTCAACTCAGACTGCCCCAAAGACAGGGCTTGTATCAATAACAAATGCAAAGATCCATGTCCAGGAGTTTGTGGCATGAACGCTGAATGTCGAGTTAATAACCATGCACCGGCTTGCGCGTGCTTGCAGGGTTATGAAGGAAATCCATTTACTTCATGTTACTTAAGTATGTGAATCTTTCTTCTTTTTTCGATATTTATCACAGGTTGAGATGGACTAGGTTATAATTGTCTCTAAATTTTAGGTGTCCAAGACCCAGTGAATCCATGTATACCATCTCCTTGCGGTCCTTACAGTATATGTCGTGAAACTAATGGACATGCTATATGTTCGTGTCAAGAACAATATTTCGGTTCACCGCCTTCCTGTCGACCTGAATGTATGGTTAGCAGCGAATGTATGCCAAACAGAGCATGTATTAATCAAAGATGTGTTGACCCATGTATTGGTGCATGTGGAAATAATGCTAAATGCACCGTTGTCAACCATAATGCATTATGTAGCTGTCCTCAGAATTATGTTGGTGATCCATTTGTGCGTTGCGCGTATGAAGAAAGTAAGTGAACTAACGAGCTTAAAAAATTTGAAGGTCTCACTAACGATGAAAATGTACATGCATACTAAATGTATTGACACTTTTTCGCAATTAAGGAACCATGATCAATAGCTATCTAATAGAACACTAAAGAGCAAATCTGCTTAATTAACCACAATGGCTATTGTGACGGGACTAGGATAACATAAACAAAATATACATTTTTGATATTTTAGGGCCAAAACCAAAACCATCTGGAAATCCTTGTATTCCTTCACCGTGCGGTCCAAACTCTCAATGCAGAATTGTAGGAGAAACGCCAGCATGTTCTTGTTTGCCTGGGTATATTGGACGTGCGCCAAATTGTCGCCCCGAATGTATATATGACGAGGAGTGTCCAAATAACCTTGCGTGCATTCGAGAAAAGTGCGTCAATCCTTGTGAAGGCTCTTGTGGGTCAAACGCTGAGTGTACAGTTATCAATCACAAAGCGGTTTGTCACTGCCGCGAAAGTTATACTGGCGATCCGTTTAGTGGTTGTTATTTTATTGGTAAGTGAGAGACGATAATAATTATACACTATGAAATTTTATTTATTCACCACTAATTGAAGCTAACGTAAAAATTTTTATATAGTGACAGTGCCAAGTGAGGATGAAACAAATCCTTGTAATCCGTCTCCTTGTGGACCAAACGCTATCTGTTCTGAAAGGAATTATGCCGGAGCATGTACTTGTCAACCAGGATATTTCGGCGATCCTTACCTCGGATGTCGTCCTGAATGCGTTACAAACAATGATTGTCCAATTGATAGAGCTTGTTCCAATAATAAATGCGTTGATCCTTGTCAAGGAGCATGCGGAATTAATGCAGTATGTACGGTGGTACATCACAATCCTGTGTGCTTATGTCTTGACGGATACGAAGGAAACCCCGTAGTATCATGCCACCCACAAAGGAAACGTTAGTATTTTTTTTAAATAAACCAGTACTGTAATTTGTTACGGTGTTATTATAGATCGCATATTAACGAATGTGTTTCGTAACATTTTAGCTCCTCTAGCTGATATCAATCCATGTATACCATCACCTTGCGGACCGTATAGCATTTGCAAGGAAATCAATGGACATGGAGTATGTTCTTGCCAAGAAGGTTATAGCGGTTCGCCACCCATGTGTCGGCCAGAATGTGTGACTAGCACTGATTGTCCTCAACATCAAGCTTGTATACAACAGAAGTGTAAAGATCCTTGTCCAGGAACATGTGGCATAAATGCTCGATGCCATGTAATAAATCATAACCCGATTTGTACATGTAGACCAGGATTTACAGGCGATCCATTTGTGACTTGCCAGTTAGAACAAAGTAAGATTTTCAATTGTAAGAATGAAATAAAGGATTTTCTTTTATATAAAAGAAATAACTGTTTTTGTTTTTTTGTGTAAAATATTTTTCTTGCATGTTTCTCCATCATTCTTTATTTATTTCTTTCTTATATTTTTTCTTTTCCGTGTCTTTGTGCTATTTTATTTCTTATACTTGTATTTTCTTTCTTAGAACCTATCTTTGAGGGGCCTAAAGGAAATCCATGCATTCCATCACCGTGTGGTCCATATTCGCAATGTAAAGTAGTTGGAGAAGCGCCTGCATGTTCATGCTTACCGAACTATATCGGTCTTGCACCGAATTGTAGACCTGAATGTTCTATCAACGCTGAATGTCCCGGTAATCTTGCATGCCAGAATGAAAAATGTGTAAACCCATGTCCGGGTTCTTGTGGTTTGAATGCAGAATGTTCAGTAGCCAATCATGTTGCATTGTGCAATTGCGTACCAGGATTTTCAGGCGATCCATTTAGCGGATGTTCGAGGGTTGAATGTAAGTTTTGTGATAAACAGCAGCATCAAAATGCAGCTCACAAAATTGCAGAAAAAAATTATTATTTTATATTCACAGATGCCACGGAACCACCTCCAAACCCTTGCAATCCGTCACCATGTGGAGCAAATGCTCTTTGCAAGGAACGAAATGGGGTTGGTTCTTGTTCATGTCTACCAGAATACTTTGGAGATCCATACACGGGATGCAGGCCAGAATGTGTTTCTAATTCTGATTGCGATCGAAATAAGGCTTGCTCGAACAACAGATGCAAGGACCCTTGTCCGGGAACATGTGGCATTAATGCCGAATGTAGGACTATTAATCACTCTCCAACTTGCACTTGTCTTCCTGGATATTCTGGAAACCCTTTGGTTAGATGTGAAGTTGAAAGTAAGTTTAAAATAATTAGCGGATGAATATTATTACTAACAGCTTGCATTTTAATTTATTGTATAATTTTCCTTTCAGTAATTCCAGACAGATCGGAATCTCTAAACCCATGCAAACCCTCACCTTGTGGCCCTAACAGCCTATGCCGAGCGGTGAACGGTCATAGTGTGTGTACTTGTGAAAATGGCTACATTGGTACCCCACCGTCGTGTCGACCAGAATGTATTGTCAGTTCAGAATGTCCTCAAAACAAAGCTTGCGTTAACAAGAAATGTATAGATCCTTGTCCTAACACTTGCGGTCTTAACGCTCGGTGCCAGGTCGTCACACACAATCCTATATGCAGCTGTACACCAGGATTCACTGGCGATCCGTTTACCAGATGCAATCCAGAGGAATCTTTTGTTCCTACTGATCCATGTATACCCTCACCTTGTGGACCTAATTCAGAATGTAGAGTGATTGGAGATCAAGCTGCATGTTCTTGCTTACCGAACTACATCGGTAGAGTACCTAATTGTAGACCGGAATGTACTATCGATGCTGAATGTCCTAGCAACACAGCTTGTGTAAACGAGAGATGCAAAGATCCATGCCTAGGTGCATGTGGCGTTAACGCATTATGTCTGACTGTCAATCATAGGCCAATATGTAGTTGTCAACAAGGTTTTACTGGAGACGCATCCAGAAGTTGTATACAAATAATTATGTCATGTTAGTATGAATTATTATTTGAATAAAATGAGACTATATTTTAAAAACATTTTATATTATTATGTTCTTATAATCTTCTGATATTGCAGCTACTGAAGTAACACCAACATCAAGCCCATGCAGTCCGTCACCTTGTGGACCAAACGCTGAATGTAGAGAATACAACGGTGCCGGAGCTTGCGCATGCTCAGAGGGATATGAAGGTGATCCTTATAGTCCACAAGGATGTCGGCGGGAATGTGAAAGCAATGACGACTGTGCCCCAGTCTTGGCTTGCACTCGATTCAAATGTATCGATCCCTGCCCTAGGACATGTGGAAAAATGGCTCAATGTACTGTCGAAAATCACGTCCCGGTATGCACATGTCCGAGAGGTTACACTGGTGATCCTTTCTTCCAATGCAAAGAAATATTTATGTCACGTAAGTACAAAACTACAAAATGTCGTGTCAAGAAATACAAAGTTCCTTTCTTTATTGTATTGAAGAATGACACAAACTGATGGCATAAATTTATTGTTGTTTTTCAGCTGCTCCTCCGCAAAATCCATGTGAGCCCACTCCTTGTGGACCTAATAGTCAGTGTAGACAAGTTAACATGCAAGCAGTATGCTCTTGTCTCCCTAACTATGTTGGTTCGCCACCGTCATGCAGACCTCAATGTGTGGTTAATAGTGAATGCGACACTTCCAAGGCTTGTATAAATCAACGTTGCGATGATCCTTGCCCGAACACTTGTGGATTGAGAGCACATTGTTTAGTGAAAAATCATAATCCTATCTGTACTTGCCCAACCGGTATGACTGGAGATCCATTCTCGCAATGTTATCGTAAGTAAAAAAAATATTGGGTTTCACTTACTTTGTTTTAAAAATTAAATTGTACAATAATACATCTCTTCTAAAATACCATAAAGACAAATGTTCAAACAAGATAAATGTTTTAGCCATACAACCGACAACTGAGCGACCACCGTCTTGTACGCCATCACCGTGCGGGCCACATTCTCGCTGCCAATTACTTGCAAGTGGACCGGCATGCTCATGTTTGCCTGGTTACGTAGGCTCTCCACCTTCTTGTCGTCCAGAATGTACCATCAATTCTGAATGTCCAGCTTCCTTGGCATGTGTGAGGCAAAAATGCGATGACCCATGTCCAGGTTCATGTGGTATTGATGCTAATTGCCATGTGTTAAATCATGTTGCCGTTTGTGTCTGTAACGAAGGTTTTACAGGAGATCCATTTTCAAGATGCGTTCAAATATTGGAAGGTAATGACCACTTTGAGTTATGTACAGGCTCGAATTTATTAGTCACCTTTAAATGTCTAGTAATAAAAAAAATCTTTTAACAGAACCTCCAACACCCGAACCTACAGACCCGTGTAATCCGAACCCTTGTGGACCTAACGCACAATGTGACAACGGTTTTTGCACGTGTCTACCAGAATATAGCGGAAACCCGTACGAATCATGTCGTCCAGAGTGTACTGGTAGTCAAGAATGTCCGAGAGATAAGGCGTGTTTTAGGAATAAATGCAGGGACCCTTGTCCAGGTGTTTGTGGACAAAGTGCTAAATGTGATGTCATAAATCATATACCAACATGTTCTTGTATCACGGATTATACTGGCAACCCATTTACTCAGTGCCACCCAATAGAAAAACCAAAACTACCGCCCAGTGACCCTTGCCATCCGTCTCCATGTGGTCCTAATAGTGTTTGCAGAACAACTGATGGCACAGCAGTATGTGCATGCATTGAAGGTTTCCAAGGCTCTCCACCAGCTTGCAGACCTGAATGCGTAGTTAGCTCTGAATGTCCATCGACCAAAGCATGTGTAAATCAAAAATGTATCAATCCTTGCATAAATGCATGTGGTGTATCTGCTCGTTGCGAAGTTATTAATCATAGCCCAATCTGTAGCTGCAATGCGGGACAAACAGGAGATCCATTTAAAAGTTGTTACGACGTCATAGAGACTCCTCCAGAACCAGTCGATGCTTGCAATCCTACACCATGTGGACCAAATTCTTTATGTATAGAAAGAAACGGAAAAGCTAATTGCAGATGCGCTGACAATTACTTAGGTCAGCCACCTAACTGCAGACCAGAATGTGTCATCAACCCGGATTGCCCGTCAAACCAAGCTTGCGTACGAAACAAATGTATTGATCCTTGCCCTGGATCCTGCGGCATTAATGCAGAATGCATTGTTGTGAGTCACACAGTATCCTGCACTTGTAGAGAAAAATTCACAGGAGATCCATTTACGCAATGTACGCCACAGCAAGGTAATGTTGTGATCTTTATTAATGTACGATGATTTTAGGTCTAAGTTTATTCCTGCCTTTTTATACGCATGATTAACTAATAAAATAAATAATTTCAGACAATGAATTACCTCGATCGCCGTGTGATCCATCACCATGTGGAGCTAATGCTATTTGTAATCAACGCGACGGAGCGGGCTCCTGTTCTTGTATAGAAGGATATCAAGGCAATCCTTATGAAGGTTGTCGTCCAGAATGCGTACTTAGCTCTGACTGCTCTGCTGATAAGGCTTGTATCAGGAACAAATGCGCAGATCCATGCCCAGGTATTTGTGGGACAAATGCGGAGTGCACCGTTATTAATCATGTTCCCAGTTGTGCTTGTATTAAAGGCTATTCAGGCAACCCGTTTGCACAATGTGTCAGAGAAGAACCACCTAAAGAGATTAGACCATGCCAACCATCACCATGTGGATCTAATAGTATATGCAGGGAAAATGGTGGGCTAGCATCGTGTGAATGCCTTCCTGATTACATCGGTGCTCCACCAGATTGTCGACCAGAGTGCACTGTAAGCAACGAATGTCCATCTGATCGCGCTTGTCATAGATTAAAATGCACCGATCCATGCAAAGGAACTTGTGGAATAGGAGCTCATTGTCAAGTAATAAATCATAGTCCCATCTGTAGCTGTCCAGCCGGTACAAGTGGCGATCCATTCACAAGATGTCTTGAAATTCAAAAGTCTGAATACGAACCCGATAGACCCATTCATCCATGCCAGCCTAACCCCTGTGGTCCCTACAGTGAATGTCGGCCAATAAATGGACAACCATCCTGCTCTTGTCTCCAAAGTTATAAAGGGGCGCCGCCAAATTGCCACCCAGAATGTCTCGTTAACACAGACTGCCCATCACACCAAGCTTGTATTGCAGAAAGATGTATAAATCCCTGTGATGGATCTTGTGGATTTAGAGCAGAATGTCGAGTTCATGATCACATACCTATCTGTAGCTGCCCTAACGGACTATCTGGCGATCCATTTATACAATGTTTAGAGGTCGTCGGTAAGTGTGATTATGCTTCTTCATGCTTTAAAATGCGAAGTGTTATTTGTTCCTTTAACTTAAATTTGAAAACCATTTATTTATTACAGTGACTCCAACACCTTCACCCGATCCTTGTAATCCATCGCCGTGCGGTAGCAACGCTCTGTGTAACGCAGGAGCTTGTTCGTGCCCCCCAGGATATTTCGGTGACCCATACCTGAATTGTCGTCTAGAATGCAGTACTAATGGCGAATGTTCACCTACACGAGCTTGTCAGGGAGGAAAATGTATCGATCCTTGTCCCGGTGCGTGCGGTACCGGTGCCACGTGCTCCGTTAACAATCATATTCCATCGTGTACTTGTCCTTCTGGAACATCTGGAGATCCATTTTCATACTGCACACAAATTATAAAAGACAGTAAGTGCATAATATAATTGTACAGTCAACAGCACATCAAGCTACACATTGACGTATCTTGTTCCATTGCACTGGAGGCGATTTTCGAACAGAAAGGGTTAGTCTGATGTGCTGTTGTCCGTACATTATAAGAATAATTTTTAAATTTATATAATATTGTGCTAAACTACCACATCAATTATTGGGTCTCAAACAAGGGAATCCCGTAGTCATAAGTACCACACTAAAGAAATTTGCTGCAGGGTTACCAGATTTTGAAAGTACTTTTCCCAAATTAGATATCGAGATTTGATTCTCGAACTGAACTGTCTTAATAGTTGGGCGGTCATTAAATTATAACATGTGCTTGTATTGCTCTTTTGCACAGAAAATCCAACATCGCCTTGTTCGCCGTCTCCATGCGGTCCTTACAGCGAATGTACAGTAAGTGCCAACGGTGCCGCTGCTTGCTCGTGTCGACCAGGCCATATTGGATCTCCACCATCATGTCGTCCAGAATGTCTCGTTAGTTCCGAGTGTAAATTACAACTGGCTTGCATAGAGCGCCGATGCCGTGACCCTTGTGAAGGAGCTTGTGGCAGAGATGCGCGTTGCCAAGTAATAGCACACTCGCCCATATGTACTTGCAATGATGGTTACACGGGAGATCCTTTCACGTACTGTTATCCGAAGCCAGGCAAGTAACATTTATTACAATAAAACTCGCCTTCCGTAAATTTTCATGAAAGCTTCAATTTTAGGCCAGCCTTTGCTAATATGTTTACAGAACTACCACCAACTCCAGTTAATCCTTGTGAGCCGTCACCTTGTGGACCTAATTCGATATGTGTGCAATCAGGAGAGACACCAGCATGTAGTTGCCAACCTAGTTTTATAGGAGCCCCTCCAAATTGTCGACCCGAATGTACTATCAGTGCTGAATGTCCAGCTGTGCTTGCTTGCGTCGCATTGCGTTGCAAGGACCCATGCGTGCAGGCATGTGGTCCACGAGCCGTGTGCTCGGTGGTTGATCACCGCGCTACATGCGCTTGTGAGCGTGGCTTAGAAGGCGACCCATTCCAGGGTTGTGCTCCACCAAAAGGTAAGACCAAAATCAAGCTAAATTATATTCTAATACACACGTTCTACATCTTCACAGTTTTGAAATATTTAAAAAATAAAACGGTTAAAGTACGTAAGTGAAAATAAGAAGTAAAATTATCGAAAGGTTCAAAATATTTAAGAAAAAAGTGCATGTAACCCCTATGCTTTGCAAAGCGTGATAATACATGCTACAAAATAAAGATGTGCTTATTGTATAAATGAAAAGTTAGGTAGTAAAGTCACGCCTCACACGGTTTACTAATGTAATATATGAATGGTTCTTTATGGGTGTTTTTACTTTAGAGCTGAGTGGCGACCATGCCCGCTGCTTGGTTCAAAGGTAATTTCTCAAGTTTAGTAACCATTCATGAGCTTTAAATATAAGCCTTCGGATACGGATGGTGATGTTACAAATTAAATTAATAATCTAGATTTTGAAGTGCTTCCAGAAGGGTAACATCTTGATATAACTATTCATGTTAAAATAATGCCTTTGCTTGAGAACGGAGCACGCGGAGATAACCTAGCACTTACAGTAAGCTTGGGCCGCCCGCCATGACGGTCGCTTTGGACGGTACGCTAGAGATAGTGACGCTGTCGGCGGATTATGGAAGTCACTAAAAGTCGCCGAGCCCAGCAAGCTTCGACTAACGCTTCGGATCAAGTAAGTGCTTCTACGGTGACTGTTGCGTTTATTGATAAGTGACTTCATCGTATTATAAAACGTTTCAGCTTCACCAATGATAGAGTACTTGAACCCTTGTGAACCTTCACCTTGTGGAGCAAATGCTGAATGTAGAGTGCAAGGAAATGCTGGATCGTGTATTTGTTTACCTGATTATTTTGGCGATCCATACCAAGGATGCCGGCCAGAATGTTTAGCTGATTCGGACTGCTCGTTGTCATTAGCCTGCAACAGAAACAAATGTAAAGATCCTTGTCCAGGTGTCTGTGGATATAATGCAGACTGTTACGTTACAAATCATAAACCTGTGTGTAACTGTAAGGCAGGTTTTACTGGAAATCCGCTGTCCATGTGCTCCATTGTACGTGGTAAGTATTTGCAAGTTTTCCTTATTCGAATTTAAAACCGGCAACGTAATCACATTATTATATCCACAATATTATTTTCAGATTATGATGTTGCAATAATTAATGTATGTAATCCTTCTCCTTGTGGTGCCAATGCGATTTGCAAAGAAATTAATAGTCAACCAGTATGCTCTTGTATGTCTAATTACATGGGTGCACCGCCTAACTGCAAGCCGGAATGTATGATCAATTCTGAATGCAAACCAAATAGAGCTTGTATCAATCAACGATGTATCAATCCATGCCCCAAGCCATGTGGTCAAAATACCGAATGTAAAGTTATTAATCACAGTCCAGTATGTTCTTGTAAACAGGGGTACTCAGGAAATCCATTCACCGTATGTTCGTTGATGCTACGTAAGTCATACATTTTTAATAACTAATTCAATTTAAATCAAATAACATACAATTTTATATTAATAGAAAAACTAACATTGCAGAAACGTCTCCTAGTGTAGTGGCACCTTCGGAACCTTGCATGCCGTCACCTTGTGGTCAATACGCAGAATGTAGGAATAACAATGGTTTGGCATCGTGCTCGTGTTTGCCGTCTTATGTCGGTTCACCTCCCTATTGCAAACCAGAATGTGTGATCCATTCAGACTGTCCGAGTGATCGAGCATGCGTCGCAGAAAAATGCAGAGATCCATGCGAAGGTTCTTGTGGACTATTCGCAAAATGTTTCGTTAACAATCACATACCGGTCTGCTTATGTCCGGAAGGATTTACTGGCGACCCCTTTAGGCAGTGCATAAAGCGACCTATTGAAGGTATGTACATATGAGCTAATATTGATTATCTATGTATTTAAAGGCTAGTTTAAATATAGTAATTCTCCTCGTAATTTCAGATACAACGCCACCTATTCCAATTGACCCATGCCAACCTAGCCCTTGTGGCCCGAACACAGTGTGTAACAATGGCTATTGCTCTTGTGAAGAGGGTTATCATGGTGACCCAAATCTAGGCTGTCGACCTGAATGCATTTATAATACAGACTGTCCATTAGACAAGGGCTGTCAACGTAATAAATGTATAAATCCTTGCATTAATACATGCGGTGTAAATGCAATCTGTGACGTTATCAACCACATACCTATGTGCACGTGTCCAAAAAGCATGAGTGGAAATGCATTTATAGAATGTCGACCTGCATTAGGTATGTTTAATGATGACACCCCGATATTTTAACTTTATTACCGTAGCTATTGTACTGCGTACCTATTTGTTTCATTTATCGTCTGTGTTATTGCAGCTGTTGTTACAAATCCTTGCAACCCTTCACCATGTGGACCTAACAGCCAATGTCGAGAGTCAAATGGCCAGGCCATATGTTCTTGTGTACCAGGTTATCGTGGTAGTCCACCAACGTGTAGACCGGAATGCATAGTGAGCCTCGAGTGTCCTTTAAAAGAAGCTTGTAACAATCAAAAATGTGTCAATCCTTGCGTAGGTGCATGTGGTAATGCAGCTGTGTGTGACGTCATAAATCACAATCCCATATGTACTTGTCCCCCGTCGTTTACCGGGGATCCATTTGTAAGATGTACTATTGTAGGTAAGCATCCCCAGTACCTTATAACAGATTCTTTATACTTACGTTCATTTTATATCTATAACATATTCTTTTATTTCATAGTGTCTGTAGAACCACAAGTCACCAGTTGTGAACCAAGCCCTTGTGGACCGAACTCTATTTGCAAGATTAATGGCAATAGTCCGTTATGTGCTTGTATGCCGGGCTACAAGGGATCACCGCCTAATTGCCGACCGGAATGTATAAGCAATAGCGAATGCGATTACAACCTAGCCTGTCGGAACAGAAAGTGTTCGGACCCATGTGTGGGAACTTGTGGGTCTAATGCAGAATGTCGAGTTGTTAGTCATGCTCCTATGTGCATATGTCAAGTTGGTTATACTGGAGATCCATTTTCATACTGCAGTCCTCAAGCTATTATGGAACCTAATGAAGTTTTAACACCGTGCAGCCCAAGTCCTTGTGGATCAAACGCCATTTGCAGAGAACAAAAGAGTGTTGGCTCTTGTCAATGTTTAGAAGGTTATTCTGGCAATCCTTATGAAGGTTGTCGACCAGAATGTGTTGTCAACTCAGACTGTGCTCTGAATAGAGCCTGCTCTAGAATGAAGTGTATTGACCCTTGTCCAGGAACCTGCGGATCTAATGCGTTGTGTCAAGTAAATAACCACATGCCGACTTGCTTGTGCCAGAACGGTTATACAGGCAATCCATTTAGTTACTGCACTATAATGCAAGAACGTAAGTTCTAATGAACTATTGTTATTTCATAATTGAGTTAAATATTTAGCTTATAATGCGTGATAAATCGAACCACTTTTAAAATTTTCAGCTGTGATTATGGAAGTAAATCCCTGCACCCCATCGCCATGTGGCGCAAACAGTCAGTGTAAAGAAGTAAACGAACAAGCAGTATGCTCGTGCTTACCAAGTTTCGTCGGTTCACCGCCCAGCTGTCGACCTGAATGTGTTGTAAGCTCTGAATGCCCTTCTAACTTAGCATGTGTGAACCAAAAGTGCGCAGACTCTTGCATTGGTACTTGTGGGGAAAATGCGAACTGTAATGTGATTAATCACAGTCCAATATGTGTCTGTAAGCAAGGTTTAACTGGAAATCCATTTACAAGATGTTATCCAATGATGGGTAAGTTTACAAATGTTTATAAAAATGTGAAAGATAATATATGTTCTTGTAAACAAAATAAACCACTCCCAAATTCGTTTGTTAATTATCTTGTTTTTCTGTTATTTCAGTATCGCAACCACCAGATAATTCATTACCCTCTGATCCCTGTTCACTGTCTCCTTGTGGTGTATACGCCGACTGTCGCAATATAGGAAACTCACCGTCTTGTGCCTGCAGACCAGGTTATATTGGAACTCCACCAAATTGCAGGCCTGAATGTACTATAAATGCAGAATGTCCCAGTAACCAAGCTTGTATAAATGAAAAATGTCGAGACCCATGTCCAGGTGCCTGTGGTGTAAATGCTCAATGTACGGTGTTTAACCATGTAGCTCAATGTGGATGCCTTGAGCGATATACTGGAGATCCTTTTACAAGATGTAGTCTAATGAAAGAAGACGGTAAATAAAAATAATATATTATAGCTTACAAAATTATATCACAAGCAATTGATCGATTCCAATTGTTACAGCGAATTTTTAGAGTAATATTAATTTTATTGAATATCACGATGTGTTACTACCATGATATTCAATTATTTTTGTGAAATTACTCCACTAATTTGTTATATAATTATTAATACAAAGATTGTACACAAAGAAAAATTCTTTTGATTCGGCTGGACACGAACCAGAGATCTCTTCATACCGGGGCTGTCGCTCTTCCAACTGATTGTTAGTGTTTCATTTCTTTTTCGGCTTCTTTCAGATGTCTATGAACCGGATCCGTGTAATCCTTCACCCTGTGGTGCTAATGCCGACTGTGATAATGGAATTTGTAAATGCTTGCCAGAATACCAAGGTGACCCTTACTTTGGTTGCAGACCTGAATGCTTAATGAGCTCAGATTGCCCACAAAACAAAGCTTGCGTTAGAAACAAATGTGTGGATCCTTGTGTTAGTTCATGCGGAAGAGAAGCTATATGTAATGTATTTAACCACATACCAATGTGCACTTGTCGACAAGGCTATACTGGAAACGCTTTCCTGGAATGCAGACCAATACCAATAAACGAAAATATAAATCCTTGCAATCCTTCGCCATGCGGACCTAACAGTCAGTGCCGAGAAACTAACGGTCAAGCAATCTGTACCTGTTTATCTGGCTATATCGGAGCGCCGCCTACATGCAGACCGGAATGTGTTCAAAGCGCAGAGTGCGCTCTAAATCGAGCGTGTTCTAATCAACGTTGCATAGATCCTTGCAAAGGAAATTGTGGTACAGCAGCCCAATGCCAAGTTATAAATCACAATCCAATTTGTTCATGTCCATCTGGCTTTACTGGCGATCCTTTCAGTAGATGCGTCATAGAAGGTAATTTTAATTTCATAATGGCATGTACATCATTATTTGGTGATTATCCGTTTATTAAATACATAGGCGGATTACTAGTATTATTTTTAAAATATTTTGCTCTTTTTCAGATATAGAACCACCGCCTTATGTAAATCCTTGCACACCTTCACCATGTGGGCCTAACTCCCTATGTAAAGAAATCGGCAGCCAACCATCGTGTGCTTGTTTAGACACATACATAGGAAGCCCCCCAAACTGTCGTCCGGAATGTATAGCTAATTCAGAATGTCCTAATCATTTAGCGTGCGTAAATAGTAAATGCAAAGATCCGTGCATTGGGATGTGTGGCGCTAGTGCTGAATGTAGGGTAGTTAGCCATTCTCCGCAATGTTTGTGCCAACCTGGTTATACTGGAGATGCATTTATTGGGTGTAGAATAATGGACGTACCTCTTACGCCTTGTTCTCCATCACCTTGTGGTACTAATGCTTTATGTAGAGAACAAAACGGGGCAGGCTCGTGTGTCTGCTTACAAGACTATATCGGCAACCCATACGAAGGCTGCCGCCCCGAGTGTACAGTGAACTCAGATTGTGCAGTAAACTTAGCGTGCATACAAAATAAATGTCAAAATCCTTGCACAAATATTTGTGGACAGAACGCCATTTGCAATGTTATAAATCATACACCCAAATGTGAATGTTTACCAGGACTAACAGGAAGCCCATACCAAAACTGTTATGAGCCTCAATTAGGTAAGTAAAAGGAATGGATGTATTTTTTTATTACTATTCGCAATAAACGCGAAGGCCTGGTTACGACAACTGATATAATTAATATTTTTTCTGCATATAGATGTACCTGTAGTACATAGAGATCCCTGTGTTCCTTCGCCATGTGGACCAAATAGCATTTGCAAAGTTTCAAACGGACAAGCAGTTTGTACATGTCAGTCAGAATTTATTGGAACGCCGCCGTCATGTAGACCTGAGTGCATCGTAAGCTCTGAGTGCAGTCAACAACAAGCATGCATTCGTTCGAAATGTAGAAACCCTTGTGAAGGTGTATGCGGGCAAAACGCAGAATGCAAAGTTATAAATCACAGTCCTATCTGCACGTGCAAACAGAGCTATAGTGGTGATCCATTTAGCAGATGTTACAACATACCGGGTAATTATATATTTTACAAGTTGCTATAATTAATGTACTTTTAAATCTAATGGAACGTACTTTATATTGCAGTGGCCGATGTAGTAGCTGTACCAACGAATCCATGTCTGCCCTCTCCATGTGGGCCGTTTTCACAATGCCGCGACTTGAATGGTTCACCGTCATGTTCATGTTTGCCGCAATACACCGGAAGTCCTCCAAATTGTCGTCCTGAATGTACCATTAATTCTGACTGCTCGTCGGACAAGGCTTGCATTAACGAAAGATGTACCGATCCTTGCCCGGGTTCGTGCGGCATAAATGCAGAATGTAGAGTGCAGACTCACGTAGCTATTTGTACATGCATAACAGGCTATAAAGGAGATCCTTTTACAAGTTGCTCTATTATTCCTGACATAGGTAATCTAGTCTTGTTTCTACTTCGTTCTTTAAACTACTCTACTATACTTGAAAGCATAAAAGCAATGACTTTATTTTCAGAACCACAAGCCACAGATCCTTGCAATCCATCCCCATGTGGTCCAAATGCAAACTGTAACAACGGTGTTTGCACTTGTTTGCCCGAGTACCACGGTGATCCATACTTTGGTTGTCGTCCCGAATGCTCACTTAGTTCTGATTGTCCTCTTGATAAGGCATGTGTTAGGAACCGATGCGTAAATCCTTGCATTAACTCATGTGGCACAAATGCGAACTGTGAAGTTGTAACACACATGGCTGTTTGTACATGTCCTCCAAGAACTACTGGCAACGCATTTGTACAATGTAGTCCCGTTAAAGGTAATTGCGATACTACAAATTTTTTAGTTATAATATGTAACTAATTTTCATTCTAAATAGGTAATAAATTATTTTATAATCATATTTAAGATGTCGTTTCAACAACTCCATGCCAGCCGAATCCTTGTGGATCAAATAGTCAGTGCAAAGATTTCAACGGCCAAGCCGTATGTTCGTGTCTTCTTGGATATCGAGGCGCACCACCATCATGTCGACCTGAATGTGTATTAAGTTCCGATTGTTCTCTCGACAAAGCATGCAATAATCAAAAATGTGTAAACCCATGCCAAGGAACCTGCGGTGTACAAGCTAGATGTCAAGTGATCAATCACAATCCAATATGCATGTGTCCCTCGGGTTACACGGGCGATCCTTTCACAAGATGCGCTCCAATCCGTAAGTTTAACATAATTTTTATTATATCCTTTTATATGCAGGACATCTAAAATCTTATGAGACATCTCATTGCAGCGGCTGCTACGCCACCAGTACCGGTACATCCATGTCAACCGTCTCCATGTGGCCCCAATTCCATTTGTCAACCAACAGATGGAGAAATCCCGTCATGTCAATGCATGACTGAATTCATTGGATCACCGCCAAATTGCCGACCTGAGTGCGTAGCTAACAGTGAATGCGCCCCACAAATGGCTTGTATAAATAGGAAATGTCAAAACCCTTGTCTTCAAACATGTGGTTTAAATGCAGAATGTAGAGTCGTTAGTCACACACCAACATGCTTATGCCCAGAAGGCTACACAGGAGATGCTTCCGTTCAATGTACTCAAATTTCAATATTTTCTGAGCCAACGTCCCCTTGTACCCCATCACCTTGCGGAGCAAACGCTGAGTGCAGAGAACAATCAGGAGCAGGTGCCTGCATATGTATAAAAGGTTATTTTGGAAACCCTTATGAAAGCTGCCATCCAGAGTGTCTAGTAAACTCAGATTGTCCAAGCAACAAAGCTTGCACAAGAAACAAGTGCATCGATCCTTGCCCAGGCACTTGTGCAGCCAACGCTGATTGTCAAGTAGTTTATCATTCTCCACAATGCACTTGCCAACAAGGATATACGGGTGATCCTTTCACACAGTGTACAATAGCACGTAAGTTTTTGCTTATATCTGACTATTAAATATAAACGGTTTTAAAATTGTAAAATTGCAAGTATTATAATATTCTGACATTTTTAGCACAAACCGACGTAGTTACAAATCCATGTCAGCCATCACCTTGTGGCTCCAACAGCCAATGTCGAATTACCAACGGGCAGAGTGTTTGTTCCTGTTTACCAGAGTACCAAGGTTCACCACCGAATTGCAGACCTGAATGTGTTGTAAGCGCAGAATGCCCGGCTGATAAATCTTGTAAAAACCAAAAATGTGTGTCACCGTGCCCTGGTCCTTGTGGTCAAAATGCAGATTGTCGAGTAATCAACCACAGTCCCATATGTACTTGTCTAAACCGGTACACCGGAGATCCTTTCTCTAGGTGCTATGTTCTTGCAGGTAATTACCATAAATACAACAGAGTTGACAATTTATTTTACAACAATTAAAAAATATATATTATGAATATTTCAAACAATATTTTAAAACTGTAATTAAATTTCAGTGCCATCATTACCGCCATCAGTTACCGACCCATGTGTGCCGTCACCTTGTGGTCCAAGCGCAATATGTAGAAACATTCAAGATCTCCCATCATGCTCATGTCTACCAGAGTTCGAAGGCAGTCCGCCGAATTGTAGACCTGAGTGTACCATTAATGAAGATTGCTCTAGTAATTTAGCATGTATCAATAAAAAATGTAGGGATCCTTGTCCTGGTTCCTGTGGAATTAACGCTAATTGTCAAGTATTTAAACATGTGGCTATATGTTCTTGTATCGAAGGATTCACAGGTAATGCGTTTACACAATGCAGCCTTCTTCCTCCTAAAGGTAAGTAATAGGAGATGTATTCAATTTATTAAATACCTGTATATGTTCAGAGTTACACAATTTATCTTGCTTGATTTTAGTCGAAGACGATCCTTGCAATCCTTCACCATGTGGATCGAATGCTCAATGTTTCAAAGGACAATGTACATGTTTGCCTGAATTCCAAGGAGATCCGTATTCTGGCTGTCGTCCAGAATGTGTCATGAGTTCGGACTGTGATCGCACGAAAGCATGTATCGGTAACAAATGCAAAGACCCGTGTCCTGGAGTTTGTGCGTCTACAGCTATTTGCAGTGTTGTGAATCATATACCGATGTGTAGTTGTCCTGAGCGGATGACTGGTAACGCATTTATTGAATGCCACCCCGTTTTAGGTAAATGAATAAACTTTTAAAATGGTTAAAAAGTAAATTTTTGTGGTGCAGGAATTAAAAAAAAAATGTCATCTTTTCAGAAGCCGTTACTACAAATCCATGCCAGCCATCTCCTTGCGGTCCTAACAGCCAGTGTAGAGAAGTTAATGGACAGGCAGTTTGCTCATGTGCTCCGAATTATATGGGCTCTCCACCATCCTGTCGTCCTGAGTGCACTATAAGTGCAGAATGTCCATTGAGTCAAGCTTGTAGCAACCAACGATGTGTTAACCCGTGCATAGGTTCATGTGGTGTAAACGCGGAATGCAAAGTAGTTAACCATAATCCTATTTGTACTTGTCCAGTATTTTATTCTGGCGACCCATTCTCAAGATGCTTCAGGCTTCGTAAGTATTGATTATAATGTAATGTTATGCAATGTCAATCAGACGAGGAATGCTTTATTTTAAAAGATCATTAACTTGATGTAACTTTTTAGCTGACAAGTTGCCAACACCCGTGAACCCATGCATACCATCACCATGTGGACCGAACTCTATATGCCGTGAAGTAAATGAAGTACCAACCTGCACTTGTCAAGATGGCTACCATGGCCAACCACCTTACTGCAGGCCTGAATGTACCAGCAATGAAGAGTGTTCCATACATTTGTCCTGTATCAACACGAAATGCAAAAATCCTTGTGAAGGTTCCTGTGGAGCAAATGCAGAATGCAAAGTCGTTAGCCATTCTCCTATTTGTTCATGTTCATACGGCTATACTGGCGATCCATTCACTGGATGCATACAAACACCTTTTCACATAGAGCCACCATCCAACCCTTGTTCGCCATCTCCTTGTGGTGCGAATGCAGTGTGCAGAGAGAAGAATAATGCTGGATCCTGCAGCTGTCTAGATACCTACATTGGAAACCCGTACGAAGGTTGCAGACCAGAATGTGTTGTGAACACAGATTGTCCGTCAAATAGAGCTTGTGTTAATAATAAATGCGCTGATCCCTGTCCTGGCACCTGTGGATCTAATGCAGAATGTCAAGTAGTTAGTCACGTACCATTGTGCACATGCATAACGGGTTATACCGGTGATCCATTCAGATATTGTGTATATCAAGGTTAGTATAGTGACTGTTTACGTCGGCAGATTTCAAGTATTTACAATGTACATCGAGTTAAGTTTTCGCGATTGCTATACATTGCAAAACAAATAATTTTCTCGCATCAAAATTATAGTATACTACGTATCTTTGTTTAAAACAAACAATGTTTCGGGCTCATTACAGGTCACATGGTTACGATAGTTTCATTTGCGATATTTACAATTCAATTATTTTAATTTTAGAATCACCACCAGCTGCTCCCAGTGACGCATGTTATCCATCACCATGTGGGCCAAATAGTCAATGTAGGGCACTTAACGGTCAAGCGGTGTGCTCTTGTTTAGCTGAATATGTAGGATCCCCGCCCAACTGCCGACCAGAATGTGTAGTAAGCTCAGAGTGTCCGCATGATTTGGCATGTCTTAACAACAAATGCCAAAATCCGTGCCCTAAGCCATGTGGTATTAACGCTCTTTGCAAAGTCATTAACCACAATCCTATTTGCTCCTGTCAATCATCATTTACTGGAGATCCTTTCACCGTATGCAGTCGTATTCAATGTAAGTAAAGAAAAAACGATTTTTGGGAATCCAAGATTTATATTACCGTTTAACATTAATTCTAATATTCATTTCAGATGAACCACAACCTGAAGTAATGAATCCGTGCTTGCCTTCACCATGTGGGCCCAATGCCGAATGTCGAGACATTGGCAACAGCCCGTCTTGCTCATGTCTTCTTAATTACATAGGAAACCCACCTAATTGCCGACCAGAATGCACTATCCACTCTGACTGTGCAAGCAATAAAGCCTGTATGAATTACAAATGCCAAGATCCTTGTCCAGGTTCCTGTGGTTTGTATGCCACTTGCTCTGTTTTGAATCATATACCAATTTGTACATGTATTGAAGGATATGTCGGTGACCCATTCACTAGCTGCAGACCAAAACCTTTAGAAGGTAATTTAGTTCTATATAATTGTTTTAATTTTTACAGTTGTATTATTGTAATGTCTCTTGATTAATAAAAATATTGTGTTGTTTTAAGTGGAACCAGTGTTGATGGATGAATGTACAAACGTGCGATGTGGTCCAAATGCAGAATGTATCAATGGCCAGTGTCAATGTTTGCCAGAGTACCACGGTGATCCTTATTTCAATTGCCGCCCCGAATGTGTGCTCAGTACTGACTGTGATCAAAATAAAGCATGCGTTCGAAGAAAATGTGTTGATCCTTGCGTCGGCGCATGTGGACAAAACGCCATTTGTCAAGTTGTTAATCACATCCCTATGTGCAGTTGCGTTCAAGGATTTTCTGGAAATGCATTTGTTGTATGCAACACAGTTAAAGGTACTATTTAAATACTTTATTAGCTTACTATTACGTATGCTCAGTTAACCACTTACTCAATTACATATCTTATTTTACAGCACCAACATATGAGAATCCTTGTAACACAGCAGTATGTGGACCTAATAGTCAATGTCGAGTAATGAATAATCAAGCCGTATGTTCATGTCTACCAACATATCTAGGAATACCACCGGCTTGTAGACCAGAATGTGTAGTAAATTCAGAATGCCCACAGAATCAAGCTTGTATGCAGCAAAAATGTGTTAATCCCTGTATTGGTGCATGTGGTGTTAGAGCTATTTGTGACGTATTCAATCATAACCCAATTTGTACTTGTCCTCTTGCACATTCCGGTAATCCATTTACAGAATGTACTTTTATAGCAAGTAAGTGTATTATACTTCTGTTTGTAGTTCTTAAATCTAGCTGTGTTATTTTGGTATGTATTATTCATTAAGTACTATGTCTTACATGGGTATACTAATTATTTCAGATGCACCACCAATAGAGGTCAATCCTTGCCAACCTTCACCTTGTGGACCAAACTCGATTTGCAGGGATGTAAATGGTAGTCCCTCATGCAGTTGTATCCCAGAATACAAAGGACAGCCACCGTACTGTAAACCTGAGTGTATAAGCAACAGTGAATGCGCGCCGCAATTAGCTTGCGTCAACCAAAAATGTTCAGATCCGTGTATTAGAGCGTGTGGCGCAAATGCTGAGTGTAAAGTTGTGAGTCACTCAGCTATGTGCATATGTGCTCAAGGTTTCGTTGGAGATCCATTCACACAATGTACACTTCAAACTCCTACTGAAATTCTAACGCCGTGTTCGCCATCGCCTTGTGGGCCGAACGCTGTATGCCGAGAACAAAACAAAGTTGGAGCGTGTATTTGCAATGAAGGTTACTTTGGAAATCCTTATGAAGGCTGTCGGCCAGAATGTGTCTCTAATTCGGATTGCCCTGGAAATAGAGCTTGTATAGGAAATAAATGTCAAGATCCTTGTCCAGGAACGTGTGGAATAAATGCTGAATGTACTGCAATCAATCACGTTCCAACTTGCACTTGTATTGTCGGCTACACTGGTGATGCATATCGACGATGCAGTCATATACCCCGTAAGTAAAGCACTACTCGAGTACATAACGTTTTCTAATGTCGATTTGTTTTGGACAACAGTATTTTATATATATTTTTGTTTCAGTTCAGATAAATACACCTATAAACGTTTGTAATCCAAGTCCTTGTGGTCCCAATAGTCAATGTCGAAACGTAAATAATCAGGCAGTGTGTAGTTGCTTACCGGACTATATGGGACAGCCCCCGTCGTGCAAGCCTGAATGTCTCCTAAACTCTGATTGTCCTGTAGACAAAGCTTGCATGAATAAAAAGTGTGTGAAGCCCTGTCCTGGTCCTTGTGGTCAGAATGCAGAATGTAGAGTATTCAATCATAATCCCATATGCAGTTGTACGACTGGCTTCACCGGAGATCCTTTCACAAGATGCTATTCTAAGCCAGGTAAATAAAACTATTACACTTATTTCGCCTTTCTATGTCAATGACGGACAAGATATCAATGAAGTATTCTTTCAGTGATACAACCACAATTAGATGAAACAAGAGACCCGTGCATACCTTCTCCTTGTGGCATGAACTCAATATGTCGAAATGTAGGCGATCAAGCCTCCTGTTCTTGTTCTCCTGGTTACCTTGGAAGTCCACCAAATTGTCGTCCGGAATGTATCACCAATCAAGACTGTATAAGCTCACTTGCGTGTATAAATGAAAAATGCAAAGATCCATGCCCAGGTTCTTGCGGTTTAAACGCACGTTGCTCAGTCTTCAATCACGTTGCTGTTTGTACCTGCCTTGAAGGGTACACAGGCGATCCCTTCACATCGTGTGTTTTAAAACCGCAATTAGGTATGTCGCATATTTTGGTTTAAAGATTTACTTTGATTTACAATAAAAATTATATACCTAGGTAAGTTTACTATATTTTACTTATTATTGCTTCCAGATCCAGTTCCTATAGATTTGTGTAATCCATCACCATGTGGGTCTAACGCAGAGTGTAACAATGGACAATGTACGTGTTTGCCTGAGTATCACGGAGATCCATTCATAGGTTGTCGGCCCGAGTGTACCTTAAGTTCAGATTGTCAAAGAGATCAAATTTGTGTCAGGAAGAAATGTGTTAACCCATGTCCCAGTACTTGCGGCGCCAATGCAATCTGTGAAGTTGTTAATCACATACCTATGTGCAGTTGTCCTGCTGGTTATACTGGCAATTCTTTCGTATCTTGCAATGTTTTACAAGGTAAATATTTAATTTAAATTATTGTAGTACAAAGTTACAACTTTAAAATTACATCTAATTTTTCACTTTCCAGAACCAATACTATCGAATCCATGCAACCCGAGTCCCTGTGGACCAAACAGTCAATGTCGTGAAATTAATAATGTAGCAGTATGTTCGTGCTTACCAAACTACTCCGGAAACCCACCAACTTGCAGACCCGAATGTACCACAAGTGCAGAATGTCCACTAACGAAAGCTTGTAACAATTATAAATGTATCAATCCTTGCAAAGGAGCCTGTGGCGTTAGTTCCTTGTGCGAGGTTGTAAATCACAATCCAATTTGCTCATGTCCAAATGGATTTATTGGAGATCCGTTTAGTAGATGCATTGCGAAACGTAAGTTGTCTATTTCCTTATCCTATTATGACGACGTAATAATGTAGTTTATTTTATAAACGATGTACAATATTGATAAATTTCAGCTCTTGCACTACCACCTCAAATAAACCCATGCGTGCCATCACCTTGTGGACCAAACTCTATTTGTAAAACAATCAATGACTCTCCATCTTGTTCGTGTATGTCAGAGTTCTACGGAGCACCTCCAAATTGTCGACCCGAATGCACGAGTAACAGCGAATGCCTGAATCATATGGCTTGCATAAACAATAAATGTGGTGATCCATGTGTTGGAGCTTGTGGGTCCGCTGCGCAATGCCGAGTAGTCAGTCATACACCAAACTGTGTGTGCCCACCAGGTTACATAGGAGATCCATTCGTATCATGTTCCTTGCAGCAGTTCACACTTACTGAAAAACCCACACCCTGTACGCCTTCACCATGTGGGAGCAATGCTATCTGCAAAGAGCGTAACAAAGTGGGGTCGTGCATATGTTCCCCTGGATACTTTGGAAATCCTTATGAGGGTTGTCGTCCTGAATGTACAGTTAATACTGACTGTCCCTCTAATAGAATTTGTCAACAAAACAAATGTCAAGACCCTTGCCCAGGTACCTGCGCGATTAATGCACAATGCCAAACCGTTAACCATGCACCAATCTGTACATGCTTCCAAGGATATACTGGAAATCCATTCCATAATTGCAAACTTATACAACGTAAGTATAGATATAGCTGCTGATACATATTTTTAATAGTATGTTTTATGTGATAGTATATTTTATTTTAACTTGTTTTTTCAGAAGAAGAATTACCAAAAGACCCGTGTCTCCCATCGCCTTGTGGTCCAAACAGCGCCTGCAGAGTAGTTAATGATCAAGCTGTTTGCAGCTGTTTGCCAGAATTCAGAGGTTCGCCTCCTAATTGTAGGCCCGAATGTATTATTAGTGCTGAATGTCCGCAAAATAGAGCATGTGTAGCACAGAAATGTATCGACCCATGTGCTGGACAGTGCGGACAAAATGCTAAATGTTACGTAATTAATCACAGTCCAATATGTTCCTGCATGGAAAAATATACAGGCGATCCTTTCAGCCGATGTACTCTTATGACATCTCCAGTTCTTGCTGAACCGCCACAAAATCCATGTGTACCTTCTCCTTGTGGACCTTTTAGTCAATGCAGAGATATTGGCGAAGTACCATCATGCACTTGTCTACCTAACTATATAGGAGCGCCACCGAATTGCCGTCCGGAGTGCACGATTAACGCAGATTGTTCTAGCAACCAAGCGTGTATTAATCAAAAATGTGATGACCCCTGTCCTGGATCTTGCGGTATAAACGCACAGTGTATTGTTAAAAATCATACGCCAATTTGCACATGTTTTGATAACTACGTAGGAGATGCTTTCACAGAATGTAAATTCCAAGGTAATTTGCAAGAATATTAATAATTACTTAATACTGTTTAATATTATTATTACTTAATGTTATTTAATATAAAAATAGGATATAAAATAGGATATACCATAATTTATTTTATATTATATGATTTTATTTACAGAACCACCGCAAGATATTGATCCTTGCAATCCATCACCATGTGGAGCAAACGCTGTATGCAGTAATAATGGCGAATGTACTTGCCTTCCTGAATATCAAGGAGATCCGTATTTTGAATGTCGACCTGAATGTGTTCTTAGTTCTGACTGTCCTCATGACAAAGCTTGTCACCGCCACAAATGTGTAAACCCATGCAACAGCGGTGTATGTGCACCTAATGCAATTTGTGAAGTTATACTTCACGTTCCTATGTGTAGATGTCCAGAACGCATGACAGGAAACGCTTTCATTCAATGCTCCGTTCTTGAAGGTATGATACAATTATAGATAATTTTGTACTATCCAAACAATGTCAAATATATTCTATTAGGTGCATTTAGGCGTTTATTTATAAAATTGTATAATTTCACAGTTGAAAAACCCCAAACATGTCAACCGAGCCCATGTGGACCAAATAGTCAATGTCGTGACGTCAATGGACAGGCTGTATGTTCCTGTTTGCCCGACTTTATTGGCAGTCCTCCATCATGTAGACCCGAATGCATTGTCAGCACTGATTGTTTACCAAATCAAGCTTGCAGCAATAGAAAATGTGTAAACCCTTGTCAAGGAACTTGTGGGGTGGGAGCAAAATGTCAAGTTATCAACCACAACCCAATCTGTTCTTGCCCGCCATCAAATACAGGCAATCCTTTCGTGAGATGCCTTATTTACAATTTTACTCCTGAACCAGTAAATCCTTGCACACCTTCACCATGTGGACCAAATTCAGTATGTAAAGAAATTTCTGGATCACCATCTTGTTCATGCCTAAGTGGATTTGTAGGATCTCCACCGTATTGCAAACCAGAGTGTATTAGTAACTCAGAATGTCCAACGCATAAAGCGTGTATAAACCAAAAATGTACAGATCCGTGTGTAGGCGGAGCTTGTGGAGTAAATGCAGTGTGTCATGTTATAAGCCATTCACCTGTATGTACATGCATGGCAGAGTACACAGGAAATCCTTTTATTGAATGCCACGGAGTAGAAATTTTACAAGAGGCAACACCTTGTCAACCATCACCATGCGGCTCTAATGCTATTTGTAAAGAATTCAATGGCGCTGGATCATGCACATGCTTACCTGAATATTTCGGTAATCCATACGAAGGGTGTAGACCGGAATGTACAATTAACACCGACTGTCCTTCTAACAAAGCATGTTTGCGAAACAAATGCCAAGATCCTTGTCCAGGTGCTTGTGCACCAAATGCCGTATGCCAGGTGGTTTCCCACGCACCTTCTTGTATTTGTGAAAGAGGTTATACTGGCGATCCATTCCGCTACTGTACACCAGAGCGTGAGTATCTGTAATTTTAATATACGACTTAATAAAATTCTTGTTTTGTTCCTATAATCCAAATTAACACTTAAACATTGTGTGGAGTATTACCTTTTTACTATTTTGTTTACAGAAAATTTAGAAGTACCTGTCGACGGTTGTCAACCATCGCCTTGTGGCCCGAATAGCCGGTGTCAAGAAGTAAACAAACAAGCCGTGTGCTCTTGTATGCCGAATTACATTGGGTCTCCGCCTGGTTGTCATCCAGAATGTGTAGTAAGCTCAGAGTGCCCAAGAGATAAGGCGTGTATAAACCAAAAATGTGAAAATCCATGTGTTGAAGCATGTGGACTAAATGCTGAATGTAGAGTTATAAATCATAGTCCAATTTGCCAGTGTCGACTACATTACACGGGAGATCCATTTACTCGTTGCAACCCTATTCCTCGTAAGTAAAATTACACATAAAATAAAAATAGACAAAAAAAATCACTAATTGTTACTCAAACACATTTTTTTTTCTTTAGCACCGGTAGCAAATTCTGAATTGGAACCATACAGAAACCCTTGTGTACCATCACCATGTGGACCGAACTCAATATGTCGAGAAATTGGAAATGTACCATCTTGCACTTGCATGCCTAGTTATATTGGAAGCCCACCAAGTTGTCGACCAGAGTGCTCTATCAACACTGACTGTCCATCTTCACAAGCTTGCATTCAGCAAAAATGTCGAGATCCTTGTCCTGGTTCTTGCGGTATTGGTGCCCTATGTTCCATATCTCATCACACGCCCATATGTACTTGCCCAGATGGATACATTGGGGATGCATTTACTGTCTGTAACCCCAAACCTCCAGGTAGGTGTTTTTTTACAAAAATTTCTTAAAATTTGAAGTATTATTTTTCTTATAACATTTGTAACTTTTATAGTGTTTGATGAACTCGACAAATGTAACCCATCACCATGTGGTGCAAACGCAATCTGTAGAGATGGTAATTGTTACTGCAACGAAGAGCATCAAGGCGATCCTTATGTTGGCTGCCGACCGGAATGCGTTTTGAATACGGACTGTCCAAGAAACAAAGCGTGTGTTAAAAATAAGTGTGTTGACCCATGTCTCGGAACTTGCGCTGCCAATGCTATTTGTGATGTAATCAATCACATTCCTATGTGCAGCTGTCCTCAAGGAATGACTGGTAACGCTTTCTACAACTGTGACCGCATTCAAGGTAAGATAACGTTAATATTGTTTCTCTATGTATGGACTACCTGTATGTACCTATTTTTGCAATCCATAACACACCTATATAATCTTACAGCGCCAATCGTAACAAACCCTTGCCTTCCATCGCCATGTGGACCGAACAGTCAATGTCGTGAAGTAAATGGTCAAGCTGTATGTACCTGTGTATCGGGATATAGAGGCAGCCCTCCGCTATGTCGACCAGAGTGCGTCGTTAGTTCTGATTGCCCATTAAACCGAGCGTGTAGTAATCAAAAGTGTATCAATCCATGTGAAGGATCTTGCGGCACTGGAGCAAAATGCGATGTTGTGAAACATAACCCCATTTGTACTTGTCCACCTCAATACACCGGAGATCCATTCGTTAGATGTGTACCATATAGTAAGTGGTTTTCTTTTCACACTTCATTTGTCAACAGAGTCAAATAAAGTAGTAAATAATAAAATTATTATTTATTTTAGGACCACCGGTTTCTGATGTCTCACCTTGTACTCCATCTCCATGTGGACCAAATTCTATTTGTAAAGAAATTTCGGATTTACCATCTTGCACATGTATGCCAAATTTCTTTGGATCACCACCATATTGTAAACCCGAATGCACCAGTAATAGTGAATGTCCATCTAACCAGGCTTGCATCAACCAAAAGTGTAAAGATCCGTGTATCAATGTATGCGGTCTTAACGCTCAGTGCAAAACAATAAGCCATTCTCCAATGTGCTTCTGTGATACCGGATATATAGGAGATCCTTTCTCATTGTGCACACTGCAGCAAGACCCTATTCAAGAAAAACCTACACCATGTGAACCATCTCCGTGTGGCGCAAATGCTGTCTGTAAAGAGCAAAACCTAGCTGGCTCGTGCTCTTGCTTGCCTGAATACATAGGAAATCCTTATGAGGGATGTCGTCCAGAATGTACTATAAATACGGATTGCGCACCAAATAAGGCCTGTATACGGAACAAATGTCAAGACCCTTGTCCTGGAGCATGCGGCTCTTTAGCTAGTTGCAACGTAGTAGCCCATTTACCGTCATGCTCTTGTCCTCCTGGATATACTGGAGATCCGTACAGAAGATGTGACGTTCAGCAAGGTAAGGACCCAAACATAAACCAGAGTGGACATAATAGAAAAGGTGTTTAAAGTTTGTAATAACACAATTATCCCATTTTTAGATCCTGTACCTGACATCACAACACCATGCGTGCCAAATCCATGTGGTCCAAATAGCATGTGTCGTCCAGTAAACGGTCAAAGCGTATGTTCCTGCATGCCTAACTACATCGGATCTCCGCCAGGATGTCGGCCTGAATGCACAATAAGCTCTGAATGCGCTGCAAATAAAGCATGCTTGAATCACAAATGTATAGATCCATGTCCAGGTCACTGTGGAACCAACGCAAATTGTAGAGTGGTTAATCATAGTCCAATGTGCTCTTGTAGCTCTGGTTTCACCGGGGATCCATTTACTCGCTGCTATGCAAGTACGTAATATCACTTTATTTATCTGCATGAAAAAAAAGCTAGTAGCATTTATTAAATAATGTATAACGTCTATTGTAGTTGCCGTACAAAGTATACCAGAACCGTACAAAAATCCATGCATACCAAATCCCTGTGGCGATAACTCGATATGCCGTGATATTAATGGAGCGCCATCATGCACTTGTTTGCCGAATTATCTTGGCCTCCCGCCAAATTGCAAACCTGAGTGCGCCATTAACCAAGATTGTCCACCGAATAAAGCCTGCATGAATATGAAGTGTAGGGATCCCTGTCCTGGAAGCTGTGGACAAAGTGCAGAATGTACAGTGTTTAATCATTCGCCGGCCTGTACCTGCTCTCAAGGATTCACAGGAGATCCCTTCACAAGATGTGTTGTAATTGAACCAATCAAAGGTAAGATTTTAAAACATTATTAAAATACTGCCGCAAACAGACTACACGATAGCCATAAAGTACTTACTAGAATATTGAGTCTTCTAAAGATATTTTCTATTGAAATAAGTATACCTTACAATATTATTATTAACAATTTAAAATTTAAAGAACTAAATTCAATTTAATATTTATTTTATTTCATAAGTAAGCAAATTACACACATACACTACAAATCCTCACACTGATTGAACACTATATATTATTCATTTATAAAGCAGATTCTCCTAAGATGAATGAGTAAGAAACTCTAGAGGTTGATCTTCATAAATAGACATTTATTTTGTACTTAAAATAATTATTTACTTCCAATATCATAAATCCTCAGCTTAATCGCGTGGTTCATTATGTTTTGAGATGGGTTAGAGCTAATTATGAAGTCACTTAACCCGTAAAAACAAGCGCAAGAGCGCAAGTGATTGCGACATGAAGTGTAAAGCATTCTAAACAAAATATTATGTGTTCCTCAAAATAGTTAAACAATAATCTTACATCTTTATTTACAGATGAAACACCAAAAGATCCATGTAACCCATCGCCATGTGGTTTCAACGCTGAATGCAGAGACGGAATATGTACTTGTATTATTGAATATCACGGGGATCCTTACATTGGGTGTAACCCAGAATGTGTGACCAATACAGACTGTCCGATGGACAAAGCATGCATTAGAAATAAGTGCACTAATCCATGTCCTGGAATATGTGCTATAAACGCAATATGTAATGTTTACAATCACATCCCCATGTGCTCTTGTCCCGAAGGAATGTCTGGGAACGCTTTTGTTGAATGTCATCAATTTGATGGTAAGCTTTCACTACATGTGACATGAAATAACTAGTAAGATGTATTATTATGACTGTTGACGTAACGCGTGCAATTATATAACCATTTTATTTTACAGTGGTGCAAACACAACCCTGCAGTCCAAGTCCATGTGGACCGAACAGTCAATGCAGACCCATTAATAATCAAGCCGTATGCTCTTGTCTGCCAACATTTATTGGAACCCCGCCGTCCTGCCGACCGGAGTGTACTATCAGCGCTGAATGTCCACTAAACGAAGCTTGCAACAACCATAAATGTATTAACCCGTGCTTGGGTTCTTGCGGCGTTGGAGCTAAATGTGAAGTTATTAATCATAATCCGATCTGCTCTTGTCCGCCTCAATATACCGGAGACCCATTCGCACGCTGTAGTCCCATAGGTAAATATTACCAAATCGATTTAAGTTCCAAGGTAATAATAGTCAGAACCGACTTATTCACATCTGATATTATTGCATTACAGTTGCGACGCCACTACCACCAGTCGATCCTTGTACACCATCACCTTGTGGCCCGTACTCAATTTGCAAGGTAATTGGCGAATCACCGTCCTGCACATGTCAATCGGACCACATTGGTGCTCCGCCCAACTGTCGACCAGAGTGTGTCAGCAACTCTGAGTGTCCAAGCAACATGGCGTGTGTTAACCAAAGATGCAAAGACCCGTGTCCAGGAAGTTGTGGCTATAATGCCGACTGCAAAATAATCAGTCACGCTCTAGTATGTTCTTGTCCATTTGGGCAAACAGGAGATCCTTTGGTGTCATGCAGTCCAGTTGAAGGTAACGAATTCACCACTTTAGTTATTACTAAATTATTATTACTAATCATTTTTAGCTCCCGGTAATATTGTTTACTTTTACCCTGTTTTTTGGGCAGACACAAGCATCGAGTACGATTCGCCATGTGACCCATCACCTTGTGGACTCAACGCCATATGTACAGAGAGAAACGGTGCCGGATCTTGCAAATGTGCTGAATCATTTGTGGGTAACCCATATGAAGGATGCCGACCCGAGTGTGTAATAAGCACTGACTGTCCGCCTATGTTAGCTTGCATACAAAACAAATGCAAAGATCCATGCCCAGGAGTTTGTGCCCGCAACGGAATTTGTCAAGTAGTCAATCATTTACCTTCGTGTTATTGTCCACCGGGACTCACGGGAAATGCTTACTCTTATTGTTCAGAAGTTATTCAAGGTAAGCAATTCCACAATTACGCTATTAAAAATACATTACTAATAAAGTAGTTAAAAATTAACCAAAATTAGTATAAGTAGTTACTTAGTAAAGACCGTTTCACAATTTTAAGATTTAATTTTCAGATGTTGAAAAACCAACACCATGTACGCCATCGCCTTGTGGTCCAAATAGTCAATGCCGAGAGGTGAACTCACAAGCTGTATGCACTTGCCAAAATGAATTCATAGGGACTCCTCCCAACTGTAGACCCGAATGTACAATCAATAGCGAATGTGCCAGTAACAAAGCATGCGTGAATCGCAAATGCGTTGATCCATGTGTCAACCAATGTGCAAGAAATGCGAACTGCAGAGTCATTGCTCACAGTCCAATTTGTACGTGCAAGGACAGATTTACTGGAGATTCATTTGTCAATTGTGTGCCAAGTAAGTATACTAAATATTAGTTATTATGCATATTTATTTGTGATATAACTATTTTTTTATTTTTTTTTTCAGTTCCTGTTGCGATTCCACCGTCTACTCCAATAAATCCTTGCATACCATCACCTTGTGGACCCAATTCGCAATGTCAAGAATTCGGTGGCACGGCTCGTTGTACTTGCCTTTCAAATTATATTGGCTCACCACCTCAATGCAGGCCAGAGTGTACAATAAATTCGGAATGCACAGCAACATTAGCTTGTATCAACAATAAATGTACTGATCCATGTCCTGGAGCGTGCGGAAATAATGCACAGTGCATCGTTAATAATCATTTGCCAATTTGCTCTTGTATTGTTGGCTACACTGGCGATCCGTTTACCAGCTGTCGTCTTCTACCACAAGGTAATAAATAGTTTTGTTTCTTTTCACATTTGATATATCTGTCAAATAGCTTCCAGAATGTAAAGTTGTAAGTCACACACCAATATGTCTCTGTCCCAACGGTTACACTGGCGATGCATTCCTGCAATGTAACATCACAGTAGCAGCCACAGTGGTAGAACGTCCAACACCTTGTGTACCATCATCATGTGAGCTTCCAGTTTTGTGTTATTAATTCTTACTTTTTGGTTTTAGACATTGAGACACCGATAAATCCTTGTTCACCGTCACCTTGCGGTGCTAATGCTATATGCCAGAACGGTGCTTGCTCATGTATACCTGAATACCACGGAGACCCCTATTTAGGATGTCAACCGGAATGTGTACTTAATTCGGATTGTCCACGAAACAAAGCTTGTATAAGAAACAAATGTGGTGATCCCTGTAAGGGCACCTGTGGCGCTGAAGCTATTTGTGAGGTTATCAATCATATACCAATGTGTTCTTGTCCACCAGGATACACAGGATCACCTTTCCTTTATTGTACAAAAGTTTTAGGTAACTACTGAAGAACTTGTTTATTATTTTATGAATTTGACGACATATAACTTTTTTATTCTTTCGTTTTTTTGTGTTGTGTATTAAGTCTCTCAATAATTTTATGTGTATTATTTACAGAATCACCTCCAGAACCAATCAATTTATGTATACCATCACCGTGTGGACCATACAGCCAATGTAGAGAATTAAATGGACATGCCGTGTGTGTCTGTGTACAAGGTTTTATTGGCAATCCACCCAACTGCCGGCCGGAATGTACAGTGAGCTCCGATTGCAACCTGAATCAGGCTTGCTCAAACCAGAAATGTATTGACCCATGTCCAGGGGCTTGCGGACGAAATGCTCAATGCATTGTTGTCAATCATAACCCAGTCTGCACATGTTTATCAGGATACTCTGGCGACCCATTCACTACTTGTCAATTAATTCGTAAGTACTGCCCTTTAACATACAATTTTCAGCTGCGTTGTTCTGCACATACCACTAAATAAATATCATTTTCCATTGTAGCTGCATCTCCACCAGTTAAAGTAAACCCTTGCCTACCATCTCCATGTGGACCAAATTCACATTGCATAGAAAACGGCGATAACGCTCAATGCAGTTGCTTGCCGGACTTCATTGGATCACCGCCCAATTGTCGACCTGAATGTACCAGCAATTCTGAATGTGCAATGGACAAGGCATGCATAAACAAAAAATGTAAAGACCCATGCCCTGGTTCTTGCGGCCTAAACGCTGAATGTAAAGTTGTAAGTCATACACCGATATGTCTATGTCCCAACGGTTACACTGGCGATGCATTCCTGCAATGTAACATCAAAGTAGAAGCCACAATGTTAGAACGCCCAACACCTTGTGTACCATCACCATGTGGAACTAACGCAGAATGCAGGGAGCAAAATAGTGTTGGTTCATGTACCTGCTTGCCTGGTTATTTTGGAAATCCTTACGATTATTGTAAACCAGAGTGCTTAGTGAATTCAGACTGTCCTTCAAACATGGCTTGTAATCAAAACAAATGCCGCGATCCTTGCCCAGGTACATGTGGTATAAATGCACAATGTAACGTAATCAATAATGTGGCAACCTGTAACTGCCTCGATCAATATTATGGTGATCCGTACAGGATTTGTACTTTCAAACCTCAATGTAAGTAATATTAATAAAATAATTATCAAAATTTACTTTCACATTTGTGGATTTTTAATATATTTTACTTTTTTCAGCTGATATTACTGATCCTTGCCAACCATCACCTTGTGGACCTAACAGCCAATGTAGATCTCAGAATGGGTTAGCCATTTGCACTTGTCAAGTAGGTTATCAGGGATCTCCGCCTATGTGTCGTCCAGAATGTACCACCAGCTCTGAATGTGCAATGGACAAAGCGTGTGAAAACCAGAAATGCATTTCGCCATGTCCAAAGGCTTGCGGCGTGAACACAATTTGCAGAGTTATTAAACATAGTCCTATTTGCACATGTAAACAAGGATACAGTGGAGATCCATTTACTAATTGCTATGTAATGCCAGAACCATTACCTGTATTATCAGAACCTACAAACCCTTGCCTTCCATCACCTTGTGGACTGAATGCACAGTGTCGAGACGTTGGTGGGATACCATCATGTTCTTGTATGATTGGGTTCTTCGGTTTCCCACCCAATTGCAAACCAGAATGTGTGGTAAATACTGACTGCAGTAACGACAAAGCCTGTATGAATATGAAGTGTCAAAATCCTTGCCAAGGATCTTGTGGTATAAGTGCAATTTGTAACGTGATCAACCACGTGCCGGTTTGCACATGTCCCACAGACTACACTGGTGATCCATTCGTCATGTGTACAGTAAAACCAAAAGGTGTGTACTATAATTCAATTCACATAATTAAAATTTTGAATAACGAATTCATTGCATAAACGACTTATTGTTGTTTCAGAACCACCACTTGCGACTGACCCGTGCAATCCATCACCATGTGGGCCTAATGCTGAATGTAACAACGGTGTATGCACTTGCTTACCTGAATATCATGGTGATCCATATTTCGAATGTCGACCTGAATGTGTACTGAGCACGGATTGTCCCTTGGATAAAGCTTGTCTTCGTTTCAAATGTACGAATCCTTGTCAAGGCATGTGTGGAACAAACGCAGAGTGCAATGTGTACAACCACGTTGCTATTTGCAGCTGTCCCGATGGCATGACTGGCGATGCATTTACGCAATGCAGAATAGTTGAACGTAAGTTAAATATTGGGTCATCCAATTTAATATTTATTAATATTATTTAAATAATATTTATTAATATTATTGAAATAATATTTATTAATATTATTTAAATTTTAATATTATTTAATATTGTATTCACTTGTAAGTAAGAGCAAATGCAATAAAGTCCGTCTTTTCTTTCAGAACCCGTTACCAAACCTTGCGAACCATCACCATGTGGTCCAAATAGTATTTGCAGAGAAGCAAATGGTCAAGCGATCTGTGCATGCTTAGAAACCTTTATAGGAAATCCACCAAATTGCCGACCAGAATGCATACAAAGCACAGATTGTTCTCCTTCCCTAGCATGTATAAACCGAAAATGCCAAGATCCCTGTCCAGGGTCATGTGGACATAATGCCGTGTGCAATGTGTATAATCACAATCCCGTATGCAGCTGTCCTCCCAGATACACTGGCTCGCCGTTTGTTCACTGTTACAGTAATTATATTATATTATTTTATATTGATATTACTAGACATATTATGGTAACTAATTGTATGCTACATAACAATAATTTATGTTACAGTTCAACCATTGCAAGAACCGCCCAGCAATCCTTGTATTCCATCTCCATGCGGTCCAAACGGTCTTTGTAATATAGCACCTGGTACCAATTCATCTGTTTGTAGTTGTCAACCAACATTTGAAGGAAATCCACCTAATTGTCGTAGGGAATGTACTACAAACGACGAATGTCCGTCCGACAAGGCCTGTATTAATTACAAATGTAAGGACCCGTGTCCAGGTTCTTGTGGAAGTAATACGCAATGTGGGGTTCGTTTGCACAGCCCTATGTGCTCTTGCCAAGAAGGCTATGTAGGAGATCCATTCACGTCGTGCCACTTAGTGTCACAAAGTATTGAACCAGTAGACCCTTGCAATCCAACACCCTGTGGTACTAATGCGCGATGCAAAGTTTCGAGAAATGGTGCAGCTGCTTGTATCTGTGAACCAGGGTATTTCGGAAATCCATATGAAATTTGCAGACCTGAATGTGTTGTAAACACTGATTGTCCATATAACAAGGCTTGTAGAGGAAACAAATGTGAAGATCCTTGCCCAGGTGCATGCGGTTCTACTGCTGTATGTCAAGTTATCAATCACGTGCCTTCGTGTAGTTGTGCCCCTAGTTACACTGGTAACCCTTACCAGTACTGTCACATTATTATCAACGAACCTAGTGAGTATCAAAATTCCTTCAGTGTTGTCCTATCACTTTCTATATAGTTTTCATTGTCATTAACTGATTTTAATATTTTGCAGCGCCAGTACCACTTGATCCTTGTATACCAAATCCATGTGGAAGTAACTCAATTTGTAAAAATAACAATGGTTTAGCAATATGCTCGTGTGCTCAAAAATTCTTTGGTTCTCCACCGAACTGTCGCCCAGAATGTACAGTAAATTCAGAATGTGATGCCAGCAAGAGCTGTCTAAATCAAAAATGCATTAATCCATGTGTCAATGTCTGTGGCGTAGACGCCGAATGTAGAGTCGTTAATCATGCACCAATTTGCTCATGCCGCCAAGGTTTTGAAGGGGATCCATTTGTCAGATGTCTACCAGTACAAAGTAAGCTGCCTGTAAATATTTTAGAAAATATTATTTATTTCACGTAGCAGTGATTATTAACGAATGCTTTCAATTTGTTGTAGAACTACCGCCAGCAGATATCAACCCATGCATACCATCTCCATGTGGACCCAATGCCCTCTGTCAGATCGCAAATAAATCGCCGTCATGCACTTGTATGGATAATTACATTGGATCACCTCCGAACTGCAGAGCAGAATGTACTATAAACTCAGACTGTGCTAGTAACCGAGCTTGCATTAATCAGAAATGTCGTGACCCGTGTCCAGGGTCTTGTGGACTGCAGACGGAATGCCATGTTTACCAACATGCCGCAGTATGCAGCTGCAGAGAAGGATTTACAGGCAATCCATTCCAAAGCTGCTACCTTCAGGAAGATATCGGTATTTTTTTTAACATTCATTTTAATTTTTGGTAATGTATGTATGACAGTAAGTACTAGTAACTACTTAACAATTATTTTTCAGAACCCGTTCCAAATGATTACGACAAATGCAAACCAAGTCCTTGTGGCGCAAACGCTGACTGTAACGATGGAGTATGCACGTGCAGGTCGAATTATTTTGGCAACCCGTACCTAAGTTGCCGACCTGAATGTACTCACAATTCAGACTGTGCACAAAACCTAGCATGTGTGAATAACAAATGTGTGAACCCATGTATCAATCTATGCGGGCAAGGCGCTTTGTGCGAAGTGTATAACCACATCCCTATGTGTAGTTGTCCATCAAATACCACTGGAAATGCTTTCTTCTCTTGTATGCCTATTACAGGTATGTATTATGACTATACTTTTACTAGGCTATTGCATCAGGAAGATAATATTTTAGAGTGCACGTATATATGTTTGTTTCTTTAAAATATTTTGCTATATAACAATTATTATTTGCTTCATCACGATCCCCGAATATTATATACATAACATATATATAACATACTTATAAATACATTTTATATATTTAAGAGTCGAACAAGACATTTCTATATTGTATCTTAATATTTACACGAAATGTAATGATCGTCAGATTTTGTGTATTCCAATTTTAATAACTTTTTTTTGATAACTAAATATAGGCAGTTTATATATTCACGGCCACTTGCGTTTTTTCAGCGGATCCTATTACGAAGAATCCATGCGAACCATCTCCATGTGGACCTTATAGTATCTGTCGCATATTGAATCAACAAGCCATGTGCTCGTGTCTCATTGGCTACGTAGGAGTTCCACCATCTTGCAGACCAGAATGTTTGGTAGACTCTGATTGCACAAGTCTAATGGCGTGCTCAAACCAAAAGTGCAACAATCCTTGTTTGGGAGCTTGCGGAATTAACGCAGAATGTAAAGTACACAATCATAAAGCTATTTGTTATTGTCCCAATGGCTACTCTGGTGATCCGTTCACACAATGTACCATCATTCAATGTAAGTATTACTCCTATATTCAGTACCATTTTGGATCTAATCAAACAATAATTAAACAGTTATTTTTACTACTTCACTTGGTTCAACTTACTATGTATTAATGCAGATGAACCACCATCAAAGAAGGCACCTTGTGAACCATCACCTTGTGGTCCAAACTCTGTGTGTCGTGTAGTCGGTGAATCGCCCAGCTGCACATGCTTGTCAGGATACATTGGCTCTCCGCCTTATTGTCGACCGGAGTGCGTCACAAACAGCGAATGCAGCTTTGACAAAGCGTGTATTAACAATAAATGTACCGATCCATGCCTTGGAGCATGTGGACCGAATGCAGACTGTAGAGTCATCAGCCACTCACCTCAATGCGTTTGCAGAAGTGGATACCAAGGTGATTCGTTTGACCAGTGCATCCCAATCAGAGGTAAGAAACAAATACGAACAAAATACAAATATGTTCGAATAAACAAATATAATAAACAACCGTAAGTCAGAGTTTGGATAAATTATTTTCCCAATAATTTTGTAGGTGCTTAGTAATCAAATTAAAAACTCTTTCAGATCCTGCTCCGAGGCCAATACTGCATCAGAACGCATGTTCACCGAACCCCTGTGGTCCAAATGCAGTATGTCAGGAACGCAATAATGCAGGCAGCTGTACTTGCATTGGCGGCTATTTCGGAAATCCCTACGAAGGTTGCAGACCAGAATGCTTAATTAACTCTGACTGTCCACAAAATCGGGCGTGCATTAACAACAAGTGTCAAGATCCTTGTCCAGGCCTTTGTGGATTAAATGCACGATGCCAAATAGTCAGTCATTTGCCGAACTGTATCTGTGTAACTGGTTATGTAGGCAATCCATATGAGAACTGCGTATTGAGGGAAGGTAAGCGTTTACCTTTTACAGTGGGTGAAATGTTTATCATTTTGGCTTCATAATAATGAAGTGTACAACTATTTCCAATTTTAGTAGCTACAATCCATTTGTTTTTCAGAACCACCAATAGATCCATGTACTCCATCTCCTTGTGGACCGTATAGCACTTGCAAGACAGTAAATAATAAAGCCATGTGCTCTTGCTTGCCAGAATTTATCGGTAATCCGCCTAATTGCCGGCCAGAATGTGTAACAAGCCCTGAGTGTCCGCTAACAAAAGCATGTGTCAGACAAAAATGTGTTGACCCATGCGTTGGGACTTGCGGAGAGAACGCGCAATGTCGTGTCCATTATCACAGCCCGTACTGCACATGCTTACCTGGTTATGAAGGAGATCCATTTGTTAAGTGCAATAGAGAAAAAGTTATGACACCGTCGCTAAAATCACCGTGTGAACCCAGCCCCTGTGGTCCATTCTCCACATGCAAAGATATTGGAGGGTCAGCAACATGCAATTGTAAACCAGGCTATATTGGTGTACCACCTCGCTGTGCACCAGAATGTACTATTAATGAAGACTGTCCTAATGACAAAGCATGTGTTAGAGAAAAGTGCTCAGATCCTTGTTTAGGATCTTGCGGCTCAAATACAAACTGTAGGGCAATGAATCATCTGGCCATTTGCACATGTTTAAGCGGCTACAGTGGTAATCCATTCACTAGCTGCTACGTTTTCGATGGTAAGCAGAAGTAAAAGTTTTCATTGCTTTATAAATGACTTCAGTATTATTTATACGTTGTTGACTAACCAATTTCCTATTTATAGAACCTCAGCTACCCGTGCCTGTAGATCCATGTGGTCAATCACCATGTGGAATAAACTCGATTTGTAATAACGGCGTATGCTCCTGCATACCCGGATATCACGGCAATCCGAACATTAAATGCAGACCAGAGTGTACCACCGATAATGACTGTGATAAGAAATTAGCTTGTGTTAACTATAAATGCGTAGACCCTTGCAAAAATGCATGCGGTCTACAAGCTGTATGTAATGTTTACAACCATATTGCGATATGCGAGTGTCCTGCACCATTACAAGGGGATGCATTTATTGCTTGTCACCGAGTCACAGGTACTTATTCTTATTTTTATTATAAAATGCGTTAGTTACGTATTAGTTATTGTTTGGAATCTTTAAGTAGTAACATAAATATTATTATAATTTAATTTAATAGCTCCTGCTGTATCGGATCCGTGCACGCCAAACCCTTGCGGACCCAATAGTATTTGCCGAGCAGACGGCACCGTTGCACACTGCTCTTGCCGACCACCAATGTTCGAGGATCCTCCAAGTTGCCGCCCAGAGTGTCGCAGTGATTCCGAGTGCCCGTCGGACCGCGCTTGTCGCAATAACAAATGCCGAGACCCTTGCCCAGGCACGTGTGGTGCATACGCAGTATGCCAGACCAAACGGCATGTACCCATTTGTACATGTCCCGAAAATTACCTTGGAGACCCATTCATTAGATGTCAAGTACCAGGTAAGAAGCATATCCTTTATTTGCATTGAAAATGTTCTATGTAACACTCGTAAACTAATAGTCACTTTCAATTTTTCAACAGCTCTTAATTCCGAAGCCAAACAAAAAGTTCCATGTTCGGATTGTGGGCCAAATGCCGACTGTATCGACAGCCAATGTCGTTGCAAACCATTCTTCTTCGGATCGCCGCCGTTCTGTCATTACGAATGTCTCAGTTCTAGCGACTGTGATTGGACCCGTACCTGTATAAACAAACGTTGTGTAGACCCATGCCCAGGAGCATGTGGACAAGGCGCAACATGTACACCAGTAGCCCATGAGCCTCGTTGCGATTGTCCACCAGGAACTAGAGGAAATCCACTCGTAGCGTGTCGACCCGTCGAAAACATCTTCCGTAAGACAGACACACCTGGATTTTTTTTGTTATTTCAAAAGTTTAAACGATCATAGACATACTTAATAGGATTTTTCAAGTATAGAGTAGATAGTGGGTGAACTTATGTTTTCGCTTTTAAAACTTAGGCATGGGTTTTACTAGTGAAACTTAAGGGAGCCGTTATCTGAATGTAACAGACGTGACTCAAAATATCTTTCTCCATTAGAGCTTAACGTGTTTGCTTTAAAATCGTTTACAATTTATGAAATCATCAGTACATTTTGTACTTTAATATCCCACAGCGAAACCACCAAGTGATCCATGCAACCCATCACCATGTGGGCCAGGCGCCGTCTGTCGCACTAGAGGAGTAGGAGCATCCTGCGAGTGCGAACCTGGTCTTCACGGCGACCCTTACACAGGGTGCCGACCAGAGTGTCTTGCCGATTCTGATTGTTCAACTTCACGAGCGTGTATACGGTCTCGTTGTCGCGATCCTTGTGAAGGCACTTGCGGCATAGGGGCTGAATGTGAAACTGTCAACCACATACCTCTCTGCTCATGTCCACCAGGAACTAGAGGAAATGCATTTGTGAGATGTGATGTTATTATGTCAGGTAGGTCATTAAATATTTAATCGTGAGACGTAACAAAAAAATTCTTATGAAGAGAAATTTCAATTGTCAATTCTATAATTTATAGCTCCTCCATGTACACCATCACCATGCGGTCCAGGCGCATTATGCACAGAATCAGGGAATAGAGCAATATGTTCATGTCCACCCGGCACTAGTGGCAATGCAGCGACAACGGGCTGTCGGCCAGAATGTATCGTCAGCTCGGAGTGTCCACGCGACCGTGCCTGCGTACGCAACAAATGCATTGATCCCTGTGTCGGTGCTTGTGGCAACAATGCATTATGTCGCGTTTTCGATCATGCTCCAATTTGTTCCTGTCCACAATCTACCACCGGAGATCCTTTCCTAGACTGTCGCGCTGGTTTGTATAACTGTACATACGTATATGTAAATGAAATTTATTTTAAACAACTTAATAATGAACCGAATCGAATTTAAATTTCAGTTCCAGATCAAGTACCCAACGTATACGACGACCCATGTGATCCTAATCCATGTGGACCACATGGGACCTGTCGCGACGGCTTCTGTACATATCCCGAGTGTATCGTTAACGACGACTGTCCGGGAGATCGCACATGTATCAACAGAAAATGTATTGATCCTTGTATCAACGCTTGTGGCCTTAACGCAATCTGTGCCGGAGTAAGACATGCAGCTGTGTGTTCTTGTCCGGCCGGCTACACCGGTTCACCATTCGTTCGTTGTGATCGTGTCATCATATCAACTCCGCCGCCACCTAAGCCAGAATGTGTCAGAGATAATGAATGTGCCGATAATGCAGCTTGCATCGATAATCGTTGCACGCCGGTCTGTGGACCTACTAATTGCGGCCTCAATGCGAAATGTATAGCACGACAGCATAGAGCACGTTGTGCTTGTCTGCCTGGATATGAAGGAAACGCCGATGCTGGATGTTATTCCGGTAAGAAAACTTAAACTAGAACTTCTTAACGAATTCTTCGGTTTTCGCGATTGTTACACATAGGAAATGAAACTATTTTTCCGGATTTAAAACGCGTATATTTATTTGTTTTTTCAAACAAACCTTTGGTTTTGGTTTTTTTAAAAAATAAATATACGCGATTTAAATTCGGAAAAATAGTTTCAGTTTTCAAACCTTTGCCAAAAGTTTGTTTGAAAAAACAAATATACGCGATTTAAATCCGGAAAAATAGTTTCATTTCTTATAGAACTTCTTAAACTTATAAAACGATTTCCTATACGTTTACCACCATGCTAATTTGAAATTTATTGGTTACAGTTCAGTGTCACAGCAACAATGATTGTCCAGACGATGAAAGTTGTGAAAGTGGTTCATGCATAAAAGTATGTTCACGAGTACGTTGTGGAAACGACGCCCATTGCGTGGCACGGGGTCATACAGCATCTTGCGAATGTGACACCGGAGCTCGCGGCAATCCTTGGATAGGATGTCGTCGAGCTGAATGTACTGTAGACGAGGAATGTGCCTCATGGTTAGCATGCCGAAGTGGAACATGTCAAAATCCTTGCCCAGGTGCTTGCGCACCCGAAGCGCAATGCAGTGTTGTACGACATATACCTGTATGTGAGTGCCCAAGAGGAACCGAGGGCAACCCCAAAATCAACTGCCAACCAGGTATAAACCTATTTGTTTTTTAACTTACTAACAATTTACCTTTCTCGTCAAATGTTATAAACGTAAAAATGAATTTTGCAACCCAATATCTATGTCTTCCAGTTCGTGATAATGTGGAATGCGAAACTGATGCTGAATGTGGCCCTGGGCTTGCATGTCTTCAAAACAACTGTAGAAACCCATGTGATTCCACATCGTGTGGACAACGGGCCGTGTGTAGAGTCGCAAATACACTACCATTCCGCACAATGGTGTGCGAATGTCCGAAACCATTAACTGGTGACGCGTCAGTACAATGTAATCCCAGTAAGTCTAAATTTCATCTGTATTTTACAATTTCCATGCATTATTTCTTTAACAACAAAAAGCGAAAGTCCATAAATGTTTTGACAAAATGAATAATGACATGACGATGTATCTTTTTAAACAGCATTTGTGATCAAGCACTTTTCAGTTACAATACGATAGCGTCAACATTGGACACTCGGTATGTTTGAAATAAAACAAGTGTAGGTATGTAATCTTACAACTAAGTGGGTATAGTTAAAGTGGTATTCCTTCACGTTGCACTTATGTAAATATGTACTACACCACTAGTGTGTAAATATACTATCAAACTGTGACCTTCGATCTATTCTCGGTTCTATCACACTTTTAACTACAAGTTTCAAATCAGTTTGCGATACGTTCAATTTATAAAGAAGATCCTGTGATAAAAAAAAAACAAATTCAGCGACAGTTACAACGTTTAGCTGTTTCTGTTCAATTGAAGCAGTATCTATATTGTATTGTGCCTTCCGATGAACGCAGGAAGCGAATGTAGAGAGGACTCAGAATGCGGTGATGAAGACCGTTGTTCGGAGGGGCGATGCGTGCCAGTGTGCGACGCGACAGCGTGCGGCGTAGGCGCCGAGTGCCGTGCCAATAACCACCGCGCTAGTTGCGTGTGCGTGCCGCCGCTGCAAGGAAATCCTAAAGTCGCTTGCACGCCTGGTAAGTAGCATCTGACGATAAGAAATTATTTGTATATTTGGCATTTTCGAAATTGTATCATCAGCATCTATACATATATTTACAGGAGCCCCTGGACCAGAATGTACAGTAGACTCTCAGTGTGGAGCTGCAGAAGCATGTGTAGCGCAGCGTTGTGTATCTGCCTGCGCTGGCGCCTGCGGCACGGGTGCCTTGTGCGAGCCTATCGATCACCGCGCTCGCTGCCGCTGCCCGCCCGGAACCGCGGGCGACCCAGCACGAGCTTGTTACACACGTAAGCGAAATATGTTCATTTCACTAAGAACACAAATCTCTGTAAGAATATAGGAACAATACATAATAATTAAACGTTGTTCACAGCTGAATGTACATCAGACGACAACTGTCCCTTCGATAAGAGTTGTATCAACAGATATTGCCAAGATCCATGCGCACTTGGATCTCCGTGCGGCCGTGATGCAATATGCCAAGTTGTGGCTCATGCGCCAACATGTCGATGCCCACCAGGAACGCAAGGTGACCCGCACAGAGCTTGCATCTCTGCAGTATGTCATTACAACGAAGATTGCGATGACAACCAACTTTGCAATCGCCTTAACCGCGTTTGCCAGCCCGCCTGCTCTGACAATGCTTGCGCTCCTGGTGCCCTTTGTACTGCTAAAGATCATCGGCCAATTTGTAGTTGCCCACCTGGCCGATCAGGTGATCCATACCTGCGTGGTTGCACATCTACACAAATTACTCCCGAATGTATGTCAGACGCTGATTGCTCTTCCCCACTGGCATGCGTCAATTCACGATGCGCTGATCTGTGTATTGGCAATCCATGTGAAGAAGGTTTGATTTGCAAAACGGTCGACATTCTGCCGCTTCGCGCCGTTGCTTGTGTCTGTCCGGATGGAGGACGTATGGCCCCAGACAGCGGATGTCGTGCTCCTCCTGAAGCGGAATGCTCTGCCGACTCTGACTGCGCCAATAGCCAGACTTGCCGCCGTGGAACCTGCGTTGAAGCATGTCGAGCTGACCCTTGTGGTCACAATGCTATATGCGACAGTGTCGATCATGTATCCCGTTGCACTTGCCCACCAGGCTACAACGGCAATCCAAGATTTGAGTGCAATCCAGGTACGTCTGATTTCTGAATTTTTCATTTGGCAGAACTAATTGTGCCTTATTTTATGATCGTTTATTAATCGATATATGCATTGAGTTCAAATATTTATTTATTTTAACATTGCAGAAGCGAGACAACCAACAACATGGGAATGCTACAGCGATGATGATTGTGGACAAGAACGCGCTTGCATAGACAGAATTTGCGTTAACCCTTGCGACAACTCTTGCGGGCTCGGAGCGTTATGTCGCGTCATTAGCCATAAGGCAATTTGCTCTTGTCCCAGAGGTTACACAGGAGATGCTACGATTCGCTGTATACCACGTAAGTGTCCTAGAATACGTACCGATTCCAATCTCACATATTCAAAACATTAAAGTTATTTCCCTTGACAATTCAATTTCATTTACTAAATTTAAAAAAGGCGCCAATTAAAATATTTAACGCACTTATTATTTATTTTCAGCTTCAGATAAGTCCGTAGTACCTGTGGGATGCAGAGCAAACTCAGACTGTCCGCTGTCACAAGCATGCGTAAACAACGCGTGTGCAGATCCTTGCGCATGCGGCTCCCACGCAGAGTGCAATGTTATACGACACCACCCAGTGTGCTTCTGTGAAAGTGGATATTCTGGCAACCCTTATGTAGGATGCGTTAAAGGTAAGAATGTGCTAGTTGATATTGTTTAAAACAGCTTATTAATTTAAAGCACAACTCCAAGTTGATTAAAGAGCTAAAATATTGATCTAATATTTATCTGTTATAAGTAATGACCGTGTTTTACTTGCAGTCGGCTGTTCTTCTGATTCCGAGTGCCCAGACAGCGACACTTGCTACAACGGTGCATGTGTTAATCCATGCTTAGTCGAAGCTCCATGTGCCATAAGTGCTGAATGTTACGGTAAAGCTCATCGACCCAACTGCCGCTGTCTCGCTGGCACTATCGGAAATCCTTACATTAGATGTCAAGCATCCGAATGTGAAATAGATACTGACTGCAACGATGATAGCGTTTGCGTAAGAGGTGTCTGCCGCAATGCTTGTACGGCTGAAGGACGAAGCCCTTGTGCCAGTAATGCCGAATGTTTTGCAAGAAACCACGCGGCCTCCTGTAAGTGCCCATCAGCTTTACCGCAAGGAGATCCGTTGACCTATTGTCAAAAGGTAGTAGTAATCGGGGAGCCAGAATGTCGTATTGACAGCGAGTGTCCTAGTGGTCAGGCATGTCTCAGAGATGAATGTCGCGACGCCTGCGCTGCGTTGAAACCATGTACCGGTATTGCTCGTTGTTCAGTATCTGACAGTACACCGTTCCGCACATTGATTTGCCGCTGTCCCGATGGTTACATCCCAGATGAAGGCGGTGCATGTAAACCTGCGCAATTACCGCCACTAAGCTGTTCTTCAGACCAAGATTGCAGCGATCAGGATTCATGTATCAATAGAATATGCCGCAATCCATGCAACTGCGGAGAAAATGCCGAATGTTTCGTACGTGATCACAGACCAGTTTGCTCTTGTAAAGCTGGCTTTGATGGAGACCCCTATCATACATGCCGAATTGTTGGCTGTCGTTCCAACTCTGAATGTGAATCACGTCAAGCCTGCATTAACGGCAACTGTATTAACCCATGCCTACTAAATTCTACGTGCGGATCAAACGCTGAATGTTATGTCGAAAGAAACCATCCACTTTGCCGCTGTCGCTCTGGATTTGAAGGCGATGCTTACAGAGGATGCAATGCCATTGAATGCCGTTCTAATGGTGACTGCCCTCAAGACAAACAATGTCGCGCACACAGATGCATCAATCCATGCCTCGCTGATAACATTTGTGGCACCAACGCAATCTGTTTAGTACGAAACCATATATCTGTTTGCAAGTGTGAACAAGGCTATGTTGGAAGCCCATACGTCGAATGCAGACCACAAATTACAGCAGAATGTCACAATGATGGCGACTGTCCATCGAAGCAAGCATGTCTATTATCTAAATGTGTCAATCCTTGCACAGCTTTACGACCTTGCGCCACCCCTGCACATTGCGAAGTTTCGCCCACTTTGCCAGTACGTACAATGCTATGCACATGTCCACCAAGATACGTAAGCAGCGGGGGTGGTGTTTGCCGCCCTGTTACAGCATTTTCAGAAGTCACATGTGAGATGGATAACGACTGTACATCAAACCATGCCTGCATAACCTCAGTGTGCAAAAATCCATGTGAGTGTGGACCAAACACGGACTGTCAAATTAAAGATCATAAACCAGTATGTGCATGCCAACCAGGTTTTATTGGAGATGCACGAACAGGATGTTACGAAATACTATGTCAATCAGATTCACAATGTTCGGATGACGAAAGTTGCATAAACAACCGATGCATTCCAGCGTGTTCCGTTAATCCTGATATCTGTGGAGAATCAGCTGAATGTTACGGTGTTGAACACAGAGCATCATGTCGGTGTAAAATTGGCACTGTAGGTAATCCTTCCATAGCTTGCACACCTATTGGCTGTCGCGCGGATTCAGAGTGCCCACAAGACAAAGCCTGTATAAACTCCAAATGCGTTAACCCTTGCAAGGATACCACATGCAACAAACCTGCAGAATGCAGAGTACATCTCCATGAGACTCATTGTATCTGTCCTCCAGGCTACGAAAGCACAGCTACTGGATGTATTCTAACTACAGAACCACAGTGCGTATCAGACGTAGACTGCCCATCAGGAACTGCTTGTTTGAACTCCAAATGCGTGAACCCATGCCTTGAAACAAAACCATGTGGTGTCAACGCTGAATGCAAAGTCATCGATACACTTCCAGTCAGGACAATGGTATGCGAATGTATACCAGGTTACAAAGGAAACGCCCTTATCGAATGTCTCCCGAACAATCGTAAGTAAACTACAACGAATATGAATATTATATTAAATGTTCTTCAAACTATCAATCATTATTGATTTTTCTGTTATAGCACCTATCGCTAAATGTATACCTGGCCAAGGCGTAGACGGAAATGGTGAATGTGTTCCGTGTTCTGAAGAGGAAGGCCGCATCGTCGACAGTCGAAGACGCTGCGTTTGCGACACAGAAAGAGGATACGTACCACGAGGAGACGTCTGTGTGTTACTGGGTTGCAGATCTGACAACGAGTGTGACGATCGCGAACGTTGTATTAACGGAGCTTGTGTAAATGCATGCGAAGCTGAACCATGTGGCATTAACGCAACATGTGATGCCTATGGTCATCGTTCTCATTGCACTTGTATCACAGGCTACGTTGGCAACCCTAGAATTCAATGTTCATCTCCACCAGAAACGAATTACCGAACGGACTTCCCTCTGCCAGAAATGCAGGTCGGTAAAATGCAATATTTCTTATGCATAATTTCACTTTCATTTATCAATAGAGTCAACATATTTTATTTCAATAAACTTCTATATCGTTATTTTACAGGTACACTGTCTGGCCGATGGAGTACGCGTTAGTCTTAAGATCAAGGACTTCAATGGAGTGTTATACGTGAAGGGTTACAGCAAAGACGAACGATGTCGCCTAGTGGTGCATACACTGGAGAATCAAGAAAGCCCTGTCGACTTCACTGTTCACTTCGGAGATTGTGGTCTTGTACATGTCAACGTACGTTATACACCATATTTTTTTCATCATTGCATTTTTCTGAATCAACTTTATCTATTTTTGAAAATTAAGTTGTAACAATTCATAAGCAATGAAATGAGATACCTATTACATTGTTTAATTGTTTTTTCTTTAGACATGAAAGAGTAATACGTACTTATCCAATTAATCTCAAACACTCGGTCACTACACTCTAAATTGCTCTATGTGTGATGAATACAATCAAAGGACTGAGTTATACATTACATTACATTTAACGTACTGTATATTCTCAATGAGTCATTTCTCGGTATTATTAAAATGAGTACGTAATTTACTCTAATTGCAAAAATACTTTACCGATTAATTTTGGTTGCAGGGTTTGGCAAGCTTTGTACTTGTAATGCAGAAACATCCAAAACTAGTAACATCAAACGCAAAGGCGTTCCACATCAAATGTTTCTACCAGACTGGCGAACAAAATGTGACGCTTGCGTTCAACGTATCTATGTTGACGACAGCCGGAACAATTGCCAACACCGGCCCTCCGCCAACATGCTCTATGAGAATCGTATCTCGAACGGGAGATGAGGTTAGCTCTGCGGAAATTGGAGAAAATCTCATTCTGCAAGTTGATGTCCAACCATCAAGTAAGTTGACCAATGGTGAATAAACCTTATGTGAATATCGTTGATGTAATACTAATGTTTGTGATTATTTTATTAGGCATATACGGCGGATTTGCGCGCAGCTGCATAGCCAAGACAAGTGAAGTTGCAACAAATGTAGAGAACGAATACACGGTAACAGATGCAGATGGATGCGCTACTGACGCTGCCATCTTCGGGGAATGGGAGCGCAGTGAAGATGGCGGGGCACTACGAGCTGCGTTTAATGCATTCAAATTCCCCAGCAGTGACAACATTAGATTCCAGTGCAATATACGTGTTTGTTTTGGAAAATGTCAACCTGTGAGTAATAAAAGATTACATGTGTGTAGAATATGTGAAATATTAATACGACAATATAATAATAATAAAAAAATCTAGGTTGAAAATATTCCACGGATTGACTTAACCTTAACTTCCGTACTTTGCAGGTAAATTGTCGCGGATTCGACGCTTTTGGTAAACGAAGAAAACGTGAAGCAATCGACAACGATGGCCCTCTAACGGGCAATGAGGGCCAACTTCGAGAGGAGGTGACCGTCGAGTCTAACCAGATCTTAACGCTGGAGCGGCGTGACCCATCCCGAGTGGCCCGACAACGCGATGGAACTGCGGACGGTGCGGCCGGGCCAGCCGAGGTGTGTGTGTCAGCCGCGGGGCTGGCCGTGGCGCTGGCGCTGACGGCGCTGCTGGCCCTCGTGGCGGTGGCAGCCGCCGTCGCCTGTTGGCTCGTGGCGTGGAGACGCGCGCGACCGCCCCCCGCACCCCTGCCGCATCCGCCCGACTTCCCTAACCCGCTGTTCCAGCGCTGATCTACACTAGTCCCGCGCCCCGCTCCTCCGCCGGCGCCGGGCGGTGTCGGCTCTTTCTTCTCACTCACTTAGCTTTAAACTTGTGTGTGCCGTCGGAGGACCGTCGGGCGAGGGCGCCGCGAGCGCTCTGCAGTACTACGAACTGCGTCCCTCGCTCACGCTCGCTGCGCCCTGTTTAGGTTACTTTTTACAATGTATCTATATTAATGTGGAATCGTCGCCTCCTTCGAATTTTGTGATATTCATAAATATAAATATTCGAAACACCATAATTTTATGTAAAATAAATATTGATTTTATTATTTAGAATAAACGAATATTAATAATAAAATAAATTAATAAATAATAATGAAATAATATCGAAAAAGTGTTGTTTCATTTAAATCTTAAGAGAGAGAACCTTTTTAAATTCAGTGTTTTTAAAGATTTGATTTTGCAAACTCCAATCACTAAGGCACGCATTATTTAATATGTTATGTACAGTCAACAACATGCTATACTTTACACTATGGACTGTTATTATCGTAGGTATAATAAAGTTCCATTTTGAATTTTAATATTTAAGTCCAGCATACTTTTGGTTGACTGTACATAAGAAACAGCAATGCGAGGTTTGTATGTATCCAGGCAGATGCTTAACTGTCATTGTCTATCAAGTATCCTTATGTAAACTCCCATTCATAGGCACATAGCTCCTGGAAATGACTTCTAAGTTTATTCAGCTCTTATTAATTCATTTCAAATAATAAACAAAATATTATAGACTATATAGTTCTAAGGTTTTTGGGATTGTTACACAGTGGAAATGAAACTATTATGCAGAGTAGGGTGGTTAGCATTAATACTAGACATAACGGTAGGGCTAGCGCGACAGGACGCGACTTGCGCGAAAGCGACATGTCACTCTCGTACAAGTAGCACTTGTTCATGCTAGCCCTACTGGTTGATGACTTTATCATTTCAGTCAGTCGTGACCATAGGACCTGTAAAGGGCCCGAAACGTTGGTTAACGTTAGTTGGTTGAAAATATATGCGATGTACATCAGAAAAAATAGTTTCATTTAAATTTTTATTAAATTGATATTCAATTATTTTTTATGTTAAATTAATCCGCTAGTTTGTTATAATTATTAATACAAAGATCGAACACTCAGAAAAAATTCCTTCGATCCGGCCGGATTCGAACCGACGTCATCTAGCATACCGTGTCAGACGCTATACCAACTAACACTAATTAACAAAGCGGACCTCACGTGTTTCATTCTCTATGTGTTTGTTGTCGTGACTTTGTTTTTGGTTTTTTCGAGAGTTTGATTTTTGTATTAACAAATACAACAAAATGGTTTCATTTCCAATATCAAAGTCCACTATACAAAGCTATTCATATTTGTATAATCTAAGATATTTAAAAGAAAGCTAAAGAGATTATACTTCACATTTTCTCCTAGATATACCTAGCTACATAGGTACCAATTTTGATTGCTCTCCGTTTACGTAACAATTTATTTGTGTCCCGTTAAAATTAACATCAAAGCAAGTTAAGTATTTATCAACGATAAAAATGACATATTTAGCAAAATTTTACAACGTTATGCAAATAACATGACTAGAGGTATGACACAAATTACCAGATGGTAATGAAAAAGTCGGGAGTCGCAAATTAACAGAGCAGGAGAGGACAATTTTTGCGAAGGTGTGTATCTTACATTAGATGGAAAATTACATACAATATAATCCAGTCGACTCTTGAGCGCAGCTGAAATCGAACGAAAATGTCTCGTGTAGTGACAAAGAAGTACAATTTGATGTCGTAAGTACCTACATGTACAAATACACTAATACTATTACCACTAGGTAATGGTGACATTCCATCACCGTGAGGTAATAAGATAATAACCTATTTATGATAACTAAAGTTGTAGGGTGCAGCCGATCCTTGTTCGAATGGCGGTTACGCATATTGATAAAATTCGATCACCTATTTTCTTGTAACTTCTGCATAGGCCATCGTCCTACTTAAGAGCCACGTTTTTGTCGGTGTGTACTCACTTTTGTAGTGGACTCTTGACAGCTGCTCACTTTAATGTCGTTCTTTTGCTCATGTTACGTTATTCTTGGTCTCCCTCTCTTTTTCTTTCATCTTCCTCTCAATCTTTTAAAAGATTTCTCACTGCCTTAACCCTTTTTAAAATTTCTTCATTTGAGATTTTCTCAATGCGGTGTTTTCTTCATTCGCTCTAGTACCACATTTGAAATAACTCCAATCTCTCCGTGTTTTTCTTTGTGATTGTCCAGGTCTCGCGTCTATACAATGCGGTACTACAGATATCGGTTTTGATAAAAATATTTTCAATCGCATGGGTATTTTTGAGGTAAAAATGTGTTTTTTTACTATCGAAAGCCTGTTTTGCTATTGCGATTATAGTCTTTATGCCAATGGTACATTTGAAGTTCTCGATGATAATACTACCAGGACATTTGAAATACGGTACCTACTGGATAGATTGCAAAACCATACGACCTAGTGCTAGAGCCTTAGTGCAGTGGTAGAGCCTTATACATGCAATTAATAAACTTGAAAAGGTTGTAAACCGCCAGTAGGGAGCAAAGGATATCACAAAAAAAAAATAGTAAAAAACACACGTAGGTACAATATCAAAAACACTCCCTACTTAAATGCTACAAAAGGTTGGAGACAGTAAAACTTACCCCGAAAGGGCCGTATTTTTACAAATTTTACGGGATTATAATGTTTTTTTTTTAATTTAGACATTTATTATATATAACCTTAAGGACTAATATAGATACAACATAATATGACAATAAAATGAACTTAACAACTAATCTACACGTATTGCACTTGTCGGCAACGTGTGGCGCAATCTGGTGTGAGGTAACCGGCCGCGGAACCGCCGATACGTGTGGCGCTCTATAAGTTTCCGGAATGAATAAGAAAAAAATACTATAAAATGGTCAGAAATGAATTTATTGTTTCTCGAAATATTCTTCGTTACCGTTAATGCACTTTTTCATACGAATGAACCAATTTTGAAAACATTATTCCACTCCTTCGAGACAATCTCTGAAACATATTTTTCATACTCTTCGACAGCCTCATCAGATGATGAAAATCGTTGACCGCGTAATTGGTTCTTAATTTTTGGAAATAAATAAAAGCCACAGGTCCCAGGTCAGGACTGTATGCGGGATGGTTCATAAAGTCAACGTCGTTCACCTTCAAAAATTCATTTGTCTGTCTGGCAGTGTGAGAACTGGCATTATGGTGGGGCAAAATGATATGGCATTTACGGTTATTTTTACGGAGTTTGTCAATAACTTCCGGCAAACAAATGGTCGAGTACCAATCACTATTCACGGTAGGATGATTCTCCAAAGCAACAGTAGCCACGTGACCAGTTTTATTTAAAAAAGAAGCATTCATCCACTTAGAGGCACTTTGCACGCGCGCTACTTTGGTTGGTTTCGGCTCATCTCGTAAGACCCTTACACTCGATTGCTACTTTGTTTTGGGATCGTAACTATAAATCCATGTTTCGTCACCTGTTACTGTGTCCCACACCAAATTTGACGCCACTTCGTTGAATCTGGTAAGCATGGCATTGCACCAAATGACGCGATCCGTTTTTGGAGCCTCAGTCAAATTGTGAGGGATCCACCGAGAGCAGGAGAAGCTTTTTCACACCCAAATGTTTGGGTAGTATTTAGTCACTGTATTTGACTCATGCCTATGCCTAAAGATGCCCGAATCTCATGGTATGTCACATGCCAGTCTATTTTTTTAATTTTTTTATTTATTTATTTATTTATATCAGGTAACAAAGACCCGTGTATATACACCTTATAGACTAACATACATAACAATATAAAAACAAAATACACCTATATTATATATACCTTAAAACTAACATACATACAATATAATAATAAAAACTAATCTACACGATTTCACTTATCGGCGATGTGCGGCGCAATCTGGTGTCAGGTAACCGGCCGCGGAATCGCCGATATATGACACCCTTCGGCCAAAATTCCTCTTTCATGAAGGTCGAAAGATGTTCGGTCGGTATTCTCACCACAAACGAATTAAAGTTCACGTTGCGGCGAGACTCCAACCGCTCGACTCTCAGGGTGTATTTGGCTTTATGCCTGATATACTCCACTATCTCCTCAGACTTCGTGGAGTAATGCAGCCGCGACAGGTACATCAACGTCGTCGGTACGGCCGGACGCAGCAGGTAGTTCGGTCCTGTCGGAGCTGTGCCACACTGGTTACGGCTGGTGGGCTTCCTCTTCCTCTTCACCACCTTTGTGAAGCCATCCTCGTCGCACTGGACCGTCTGCCTCTGTAGTTTTGCAACTTCAGAGACAGGCACACGGAGATTGGTTTTATCCTTAGCCGATTGCCGCCGCTCGAATTTCGAAGTGGCGGGACGGCTGGTTGAAGCGGCTACAGCGGCGTATGCAAGTGTCGGGGTTGACGTGCACACGCGTGACATTTCCACCGAGGCAGAGGGGCGGGCAGCGGGGCGCGGCGCATCATGCGCGGTGGCAGCAACGAATGGTGACGCATTATGTGCCGACTCGAAACTGCTGACCGAGGCATTCAGCGCTGCTCCGCGTCGTGTGTTTACATTAGAGGCTTCTGGTGACCTACATACCGAAACAGCATTGTTTAATAACGCAACTTGGGTACACAGCTCACTTATGATGTTATCCGAAGCCTCTAATTTACACTGTACTTCGGCTAGGCTAGACTTCAGGGACGTAATGTCCTTCAGCAGCCTAGTAACATCGATGTGGTCGAACGTGACGGGGGGCAGCTTGTGCAGCTCCTTCGCCACGAATGTAGGCACGTCGTCCGGGTCAGTCTCCTTCAGCAGCGTGATTATATCTTGGAGACTCTTCACGCCTCCATCCCTCCGGCGAGATGGCATCACTTCGGCTTTACCGAGACGCTGGAAAAGCAGCATCTTGCCACTGCAAATCTCATCTTCACTGAAATTTGATTTGCATATCTGCACTATGCTGACTTCATCCATGGTGTCGATAACGTGTATAATGAACGCCAGGAGCTCATTGGCAATGAGTTGCTGGGAACTCATTGTCAATTACGCGCAGCGGCTTGTGCCGCTCGAAACGCCGGTTAGGTGTAATTAACTTACTGCGTAGTGGCACGTCCGTTTCCGAACGCGCATTGCTATGGACTTTTGATCATATCGTGTGTATCGATGTTTTTCTTGTTCACATCAGTGGACGGGCGACCATCACGAAATTCGTCAGTGAGATTCAGACGACCGCGTTTGAATTCTGCAAACCAGGTATAAATAGTCGTCTTGCATGGTGCTTCATCGCCAAAAGCAGTTTGAAGCCTAACGAAGCTCCGCTGAGCTGTTAAATTACACTTAAAGTCGTAGAAAATCATACTACGAAAATTTTCACGAGTTAAATCCCTGGTGATGTGGACAACCAATTTCTAAAATGACGCCACAATGTAAAAACAAGTGACAGTCAGATAAAACAAACTGTATTCCACAGCCAAAGTTCCATTTTCAAAAGTTGTAATTACTTTTAAAATATTGTTTATGTAAGTGGCCAGTTCCGGAAACTTATAGTGCGCCCTATGTATATAACACCCTTCGGCCAAAACTCTACCTTCATGAAGGCCGACAGATGTTCGATCGCCACTCTCACTACAAACGAATTAAAATTTACGTTATGGCGGGTGTATTTGGCTTTTAGCCTGATGTACTCCACTATCTCCTCAGACTTCGTGGAGTAATGTAGTCGCGACAGGTACAGCAGCGTCGTTGGTGTTGCCGAACGGAGCATAAAGTTCGATCCTGTCGGTGCTGTGCCACACAGGTTACGGCTGGTGGGCTTCCTCTTCCTCTTCACCACCTTTGTGAAGCCGTCCTCGTCGCATTGATCCGTCTGCCTCTGTGGGTTTGCAACTTCGGAGACAGGCACACGGGGACTACTTTTACTTAGCCGATTGCCGCCTCTCGAGTTTCGAAGTGGCGGATGGGCTGGTAGAAGCGGCTACATCGGCGTAAGCATATGCAGGGGCGGACATGCATATGCGTGACGTTTCTGCCGGGGCAGAGGCGCAGGCAGCAGGACGCGGTGCATCACGCGCGACAGCAGCAGCGATCGGTGACGCAACCATTTGTGCCGACTCGACACTGTTGATGGATTCATTTTGCGCCTCACGATGCGTGTTTACATTAGATACTTCTGGTGACTTACATACAGAAGCAGCATTGCTTAATAACGCAACTCACTTATGGTGTTATCTGAAGCCTCCAATCTACACTGCAACTCGGCCAGGCTTGACTTCAGGGAAGTGATATCCTTCAGCAGCCTGATAACATCTACGTGGTCGAACGTGACGGGGGCAGTTTGTGCAGCTCCTTCGCCACAAATGTAGGCATGTCGTCCGGGTCAGTCTCCTTCAGAAGTGTAATAACATCCTGGAGACTCTTCACGCCTCCATCCCTCCGGCGAGATGGCATGTGCTCAACTTTGCCGAGGCTCTCGAACAACAGCATCTTGCCATTGCAAATCTCATCCTCGTTGAAGTTGGATTTACAGATCTGCACGATGCTGACTTCGTCCATGGTATCGATGGCGTGTTGGATAAATGCCAAAAGCTCATTGGCTATGAGTTGTTGGGAACCCATTGCCACTTATGCGCAGCGGCCGATGCCGCGCGAAACTCGAATTATAATAATTCTCACTGCGTCCAATAGGACACGTCCGTTTCTGAACGCGCACCGAACTGCAGTGTTGTATTAAATAGGCAAATGATTTACAATGGAAACTGGTAAAAACAGATCAAAATTTGTGATGACGACGAGCAGGAGTGCTCGCTTCAGACGTTGGGTAGAGAGTGACGACGGAACAAAACAAAGTGAGAATGACGAGGCAAAGGAATTAAAGAGCGATTCAAAATTTGAAAATAAGTGGCCGGGAACCAGAGAAAAGGTGATAAAAAGGTGGGATGACGATGGAGGAGGTCGTATTGTCACAAACTATTTAATGTTACTTGCTTTAACAGTGAAGGAAAACTACCTCGGATAACCAGCAGTGTACTTTAACCTAAGCCCTTTAAGTAGAGATGTCCAATGCCCAGAGATGGGACTTTTACAGATACCTTATATTAACTGGGTCTTTTATCATTAAATACAGTCCATACAAAGAAAGAAATAAAGGTTATAAAATGTGTGTTATCAGTGCAATCAGTCACAAACTACAATTGCAAAAATCGTCTACGAGGGTATCACAAAATAATTACGAAATATTGAATACACACGATATATATAAAAATGTAGATTAACCCGAACCGGTCAGACCACGCTCAGACTTTGTTACTCAATTTTATGATTTAATTGTTGTCCTCATCGACTCGACAACAATCTGTATTCAGAATGTATGTATGCCTAGCGTTACAACTGCTGAAAATTAGGCCGTCTGTCATTTATTTCATAGAGACCGCTTTGTCATATAGTTTGATGTCAATGGCCTAACTAGTCGATGAAAATGCGCCAAAATACTCAAATGATGAGATACTTAAGGCTGATTATTACTGCAGTCTTGCATTTAAAATTTAAAAGTTTATTACCGTCGTGATAAAAATTAGTCGCCTTTTCCATCTTTCACAAAAATGCCACCAAATAATGAATCCCAATTGTAATTAGTGCGAGTGTGCATGTGTAGATGAAAAAAAACCATGAATAAAGTCTGACTTCTCGTTCTGACGGCGGGGTTATGAGCATTGTGACCCTGAGACAGTCGCAAGCGCAGCGCGGCATAAGGTGGGCAACACCGCGCATGCGCTGCCCCTGCCCTCCCCCCTTCCTGTATGCTCCCCACTCCAACCCACCAGAATCGCACTTTGTTTACCAATTGCTGCGATTGACGAACCAGTCGGTCGGGTGGCCAAACCGATCTCACTCGCGTTCGCACGTTATTCAGCAGTCGCGCGCCGCCAGCGTCGCACGCGACTTGATTGCCCGCGATATGACCCAGTGACGTGATAGTATGAATAAAGCCGGCATAACGACGGAAGTCGCCGCGCCGAGCGTGGCGATCCACGTGGACCAGTATGACGATCCGGACGCAGACGAGGACCACTCAAAACTTCTTGATTTACATTCACCGCCACCGATTGTGACGCCCTCTGGGCAAATGCGAAAAGTGAAGAGCTTCACCGATACACACAGAATCCGCGATGTGAGTACCGCTTCAGGAGCAGCGTCTGCTCGGTGTCTGCGTCCGTACGACCAAGTTGCTTTTAACCCTGAAGGTTCCGACTGCGGAACGAACCACTATGGCGCTCCATCGGTACGTTCTCTCGCCTCGATTGGTATGGGCTGCACCGACGGTCGCAAAATGGTCATTCGACGGGTACCAACATCGCCCACCGAATTGTTCCATCTAGTACGTCCTCCTACGTGAGTATTTACGCGGGTGATATATCCTCTCAGCGTCATTATTCAATTGACACAAATAACAACTGTTTCTCCATCCTTCATCTATTGTTCACTTGAATTCCACCCCGTGTCTTTTCAAATCTCTTCAAATAAAAATGTGTAGTTATCCGTGTATCTACCCATTCTAAACACAGAGAAGCAAATTGCTACTTTGTTTGATAACATCCACCTTATTATTAACTTTATCTATCCATGTTGATAAAAGGGTGAGGTACAGATAAATCGGCTATCGTTAAAATAAGTTATTCTAAATTCTTTCATAACAAATGATATTATAATAATATACAGTTAATTTTGAATAAATATAGAATTGTACACATATTTCCTGTTAGAGTTGGCAAGTAATAATAACAAAACTATAGAGTTGTTGTAAATCAGCTTTTTTATTGGCATATATCTCATCACAGAAATCTATTTAAATTTAGGTTATTGAGGCAATGGCCCTGGGTGTACGTCATAGAGGCGATATCGACGATACATCTGAGTTAACCAAAATCCAACACAGTAAAGTTTTCACACAATAATCATTAATCTCATAAAGATAAAAGCATAGCCGACATGTTTATGTTCGTCAATATGGATAAGTAGAGACAACGGACGTTGCGTTTACATTATGAGATTGGACCGTATATTTACACATCCAATGTAATTCTATTTATCCTTAATTATATTATGTCCAAAATTAAGTATATTGCATATAATCTCCTTGGCAATTTCAAATCAGTGAGTCTAAATTGTAATTACGCTACTATGGTGTATCAATTCAATAAGTTTATATATTTGACTTATTCGATTTACTTAACAAAATTATTTTATGAAAGTTGTTAAATAAAATAATAAAATAAAATAAAAAATAAATAAAAAATAAAAATCCTTTATTTTCAGACCAATCAATCCATAGAATGTTAGCAACAAGAATACTTAAAAACTATGTTAGTGAAATAATTTGACATTCTACACCACTAAGGGACTATTTTTTTTTTTTACATGTAACAATGTAAACCGGCTGAGGATAGCAGAGTCCATCCTGTCTGCTATCATCCTTTATGTTAAACATTACTCAAACATCTTTTGAATCACTAATAACAGATAAACAAGAAATATAATAATTTTTATCTGGGTTCACCATTTACAGTTTAGCTGTCGGTATTTGGAAATAAAGGTGCTTTATTAACCTGCACGTCGTATAGTTGTTACCGGTGTCCTCCGTAAAATGAAAACTAGGCTTTAATACACAATACAAAACCCTAGTTGCATTAAAAAGATTGATTCAATGCGTTCCATTCAGATAAGTAGATACCTAAATATTATTTTGCGATTAGGAAAGGTTTGAATTTCGTTTATACACATTTACCCCATAAATATATAAATTATAATAATTGAAATTACAAAAAACATTCAACTGTTTAGAAATATAGAAAAAAACTTGGGTGCGTAGAAAGATGGCCTGGTTAATTTTCAGATTAGTTTTCTCTACCTAGTTTTGCCGGCAATTTTTATTATTTAAATGTTTAAAAATATTATCTTGAAATTATTATAATTTCAGAACACTACATTGGAATAAATACTTTATGAGAATATTCTAGAATATTTGTATATAAAGAGAAGTAAGATTTAAACAATTTGACAACTGTTGGCCTAATGGTTTGCACAGTGTTGTGAGAAGGTCCCGAATCCGATTCCTGGTCGATCCGTCCGATTCCCCAATTGGGGAGATGAACTTTTGTAAATTGGTTCTGGTTTGAGTGTTCTGGGTTGTGCCCCGGAGTGAATTCCGTTGCTCTAGTACTCATTGCAGGAAATTCCCTAATTTGAGACCAAGTAATTGGTATGGTTGTCTAGTAATTATTATTATTAATAATTATAACTTTTTCTACATAAAAAAAACACCTCAAAAGTTTATGGAATTACATCTATTTGCCATTTTTTAATTGAAATCAATTAACGGAAAGTGGGTGCAATGCAATAAACCGGGTTCATCACCTAATTAGCCACCATTAGAGGTGGAAGATTTTCTTCAAATTTGAATTAGACCACGACTAAGGTCCAACAAAAAAGCATCATCGATGTCGGTTCACAAATGTCGGAGTGAAAGTGAAAACATGCAGTCGAATTGAGAACCTCCTCCTTTTTTAAAGTCGGTTAAAAATAATGACTATTCAGAGACGTTCTTACTTACTCTATCCTTTTCAGGAACGGATTTGAGAACTGTCACTCAGTAAAGGAACTAAAGTACACACACATAACCTAATCATCGTTAGATGGCAAGGCCGTAATCATCGTCATCTAATCGTGATAAAACACATGCTAATACCATGTAAGAGAAAACAGGACTTGACATTCTGGGCTTTGTACGGTTGTTATCAAAAGCATTACAGAGTTGAATTTAAGTATTTAGTGTCCAGCTTGACGTGGTCTTGACTCCGTACAAAACTAACAAGCAAACCAAAACGTTTCGCTCAAAATATTTTAGAACATGTGTGTTTATAACAACAAAAACACTTTATTGCCTGGAGACACTTCGACCGTGTCTTTCAGTAGCAGTTTCACAGAAAAATATATAAAAAAGATTGCGAAACCGAAGAATAACATAAGTAAAGCAAGTTCCATTCACAATGTTTAAAAATAATCTCAGTACAGAGTGCTAAAATAAAACCGACCTCAAAAGTACGTGGAATCACATATAATTACCAAGTTTTATTGAAATCAGTTACCGGAAAGTACACAAACCCGGTATCATCCCCTAGTTCGCCACTATACGAGACTTGACACAGGAGATAATAAAAATCAGTTCTTACTATTTACTCAAAGTATATTGAGAGAGATTTTGGAGAATAGCAAAATCAACCACTAAAATAATTGCTCCTTATAATAAAATTTTGGTGCTATTTATAAAAATGAATATCCATGCGTAAACAGCCACCCTTAGAGGTGGATGATTTTGTTCAAAATTAAATCGGACCACTATGGAACCCTCTTTCCAACAAAAAAGAATCATGAAAATCGGTTCACAATTTTTTTTTTTTTTTTTTATACCTGACAGGCAAATGACTCCACTCCACCTGATGTTAAGTGGATAAATACCGGAGTTATCGCGTAATATACATACAAAAAAATCAAACAGTCGAATTGAGAATCTCCTCATTTTTTGAAGTCCGTTAAAATAAAAATAAAGTTCTCATTTACTCATGGAAACGCAAACTAACGTAGTATGCGATGGAATTGCAACGTCCCCGTTCCATCATCTGGGGACTAGACGTAGGTTGGGGTTCCACCACTATGTTGTGGATATTCCAAGCATTCGCACAAAGCGTTTCGCTTCCACATTTATATAAAAAACGGCTAAGGAGTGGAATTACCTACCTGGAGACTTAGTCGATCTCGCAATGCGAGAGTGAATAGGTACCCACTATTTAGGTGTACATGCTACATAGTCGACCTCATCGTCACTTTCCATCAGGTGGAATGGAGGTCAAACACGCACTTATTTCTTTGTAAAAAAACTGGGAGTGGACATGCAATTTTTTTTTCAATTTTTTTTAAATATAATACTTACTAAGCGACACGCCTGTCCATAACAAATGCAGTGCCACTCAAAGCTTTAAATCACACAGATCTGACGAGCACTGCCACTGCGCCCAACACTAAGTCCCATGTGCCTGTAATTTCACCAGCACCCTTATCCTTCGAAACCGGAACGCAGTAATGCTCACATTACTTACTGCTTGGCGGCAGAAATAGGTAAAGTGGCAGTACTTCACAAGACGTTCTACTGCTACATAATATATACTGTAGACATATTGTGTATTTACTAACATCCACCTCAACAGAATAAACTAGGTGAAACATGTTGATTGTGTAATAATATCACATGGGTGTGCTTTAGGCATAAAACAGTAGTATCTAATTCTATAATTATATTAGACTATTAGATACGTCTAAACGTAACTATATATTTTTTTACGAAAACCAACGACGCCGTCGCCTGTACGGCGGCCATACCCACTCCATTATAGCAGAAACATACCTAGAAGTTTGCAAGTTTCTTAGTCTAATCATCACCTGATGGCGTGTCCACGTGTCGCCTGTAACAATGATGAACTATAATAGTTGTTCATAAACCATTTGTTATCGATATCACGCTGAGAAAGTTCAACGTGGATAACCTCAATGGATAAATAGGTACTGAAGGTTAAACAAATAAAAAATATTTTTTAGATTACTTATGTGTTTACCGGTTACATTCATTTCCACTGTTACATTTATTATCTCCACTATTCAGTGGAATGAACCAAATAGACCAGTCTATTATATTCCGTATTGCTCGCAAAGGCAAAGCCAACAAATTCTAAGACCAAGTCGCAAACATTAAAAATTATAAGGAGGAAAATCAATTAATATTTATTATCAATATTAAGAATTATAACTTTTTTATAAATATTTGTGAATTTACATCTATTTGCCATGTTTTATTGAAACCTGTTAACGGAAAATGGGTGAAATCCAGTAAACGAGATTCATACCCTATTTGGCCACCCTTAATGGTAGAATATTTTCTTTAAATTCAAGTTAATGGGACCACTATTGACTCCTCCTTTTTTGAAACCGACTATAATTATAACTTTTTTATATCAAAAACCGACCTCAAAAATTGATGGAATTACATCTATTTGCCAAGTTTCATTGAAATCGGTTACAAAAAAAATGCAGTCGAATTGAAAACCTCCTCCTATTTTTTAAGTCGGTTAACAAGGATAAAATACGATTTTGTAACGTAATATTAATCTCTCCCACCCTAGGACAAATAAACCACTTCCACCTTTACAACTGACAGACCCTGGTTTAGATTACGAGTTCCTATATCAGGCAGTTAAATCCGGATGAAACCATTTTCTATTCGTCCTTAGTTCACCTATGTTTTCCGTTACAAACGGATTTCCTTCACTTACCAATGTATCGTC